ACCCCCCAACACCCTCACCCAGGTATCCTCGAGGTACCAGCACAAAAGACTCAAGGCCTTAAATGGCTAAGTCTGTTAAACATCCACGCACAGGTAGTTGAACCAGTCTTAGTCGGAAAGCATGGGAGATCACTTCGTCCACTGCCTCATCGCCTTTGATAATGTCCACCTCAGTTGTGGACGAAACGTCAGGAAGAAATTCCCATGGACTACGGCTTCAAAGCTCGAAAAACATTTCTAAATGTGATTTGACCGGCCGAGAAAGCCTTCACAGTATTGTTTACATTTTTACGGATAACTCTTACTAAATATATTTAGATAGACATTTGGTATCATTTGGATCTACTTTTCAGAATTTCGATAATTTGCCAAACGTAGAAGTAGGAACGGAAGGCTATTATGGAGGTTCAGTATCACTTGCTGATTATTGCCCTTACATCCAAGAATTTACTTGGAGTTCTGATAATGTAATTGTTAGAGGATCGCATTGTCAATTCATCGAAAACAACCCAAGTAAGTATGAATAACATACCGAATGATCGCCCTTGCGCCTTTCTCCACGTCTCTGTGGTATCTCTAAGAGCCCAATCATTTAGAGCGCTTGATACCTGTCTGTTGCTTAAACCTATCTGAGGTTTGGCGCTTATGGCTCTCAGAAGATCTGGGCATCGGCCTGCTTTGCGCCGGCATCCACACCAGGTTTACTTGTTTCTGTTTTTCCACTTTGTTAGAACAAAATGAGATAGATCTCAGCAATCCTGAATCAGTCCACTGCACATCTTAACACCGAGAAGTGCGTTTGGGGCAGCCTGACTGCCGGAGTATTTTCATCACTTCGTCTAGTCCTTCTGTAATTTTCTTATCTGTGGCTTATCTATGTCTGCGGCAACCTCGAGGATTGCATATAATTCCGCCCGAAAAACTGTCGTCCCGCCTCCCAGCGGTGCGTCGAATTAAATGTTAAGTTCTATCAAGTCTATCAGAAAGTTGATCGTTCGAATAATAAAAGGTTTTTTAAATTCATCAACTACTTGAAAATCTTGTGGGTTAATGGTGAACTTTTCTTATTGTCAATTAGCTGGTGGATAGTTGCTGTTGTAAGTTTGAAAATTGAGGGTATGGAAAATGTGAGGGTTTGAAAAATCCTTCCGAAAATAAAATCCTCGGGAATGCAGGCACTGTCCTGCATGTGCGTAACGGATATTCACAATGATCTTGAAACCGACACTATTCAAAGGTTCCCCAAAAAAACACTGCAATTTAAAAATCAAAGGCAGTTGTCCAGAAATCCACCATAGTCGGTCTAGAATGGAAAAATCGTACTTTTGCTTTTTAGTTAAACATTGGGTTCACATTTACTAATTGCTGCAATACTTGTCCGTTGCGTTGTTCTCATCTAATTTAATATCTAAATAGGCCCATAAGGGTTGTGTTCGTGATTGTTGAAAAATGGGCTACCGCGTTAATCTGTGTCATTGAGAATTCAATGGTTTAATTTATATTTAAAAATAAATTTATTATTCTAGAGCCAGACAAAAATTTTGCTATAGAACGGTATGGACAATATTCAAGATGTTTTGAACACACTCAACATATTTGGGAAGAGAAATCTTGTAGACAGGTGCGACAATGGAAGCATTGGGGTTCTGGATGCTACTCATACAAGTGCCAAAATGGAAGACTGCATATAGTGGTGCGTTTGTGTTCATTTATTTTAAGGCAAAGCTGTTACAGATTCTTAATATTTGGAGTACTTTTAGGTAGGAAATTATTCGTACCAGTGCTACCATGCTAACCAGGAAATTTCTATACGAATAGTAAGCAACGGTTGGCTGCATAAAGGTGGAATTATTTGCCCTCCGTGCAAGGAACTCTGTTCTGTAAGTAGCAGTATCACTCACTTTGATTTTTGCAATGAAAGTAAAACTATTTCGATTTGTGTGAAGCAATAATTTATATAATTTCAATGTAATGCAGAAGGAATTTGCGGCACACGGAATTGAATGTAAGATGGGCGAAGAAGCTCCACCCTCAACGTCCTATCCCAGAGATGATCTCGTATGCGATTCTAATGTTGCCAAAATGTTTTTTCCTTTATTCGTTATGTTAACCTTGGTCCATAATCTAATTTGAAACATTCCGGCAACAATTCGATTCAACAATTTTTTTATTGCGTAATGATTCGTCCATAAATTGTTAGTGATCTTCAATATGACGGTAATTAAATGTTAAAAAGCATACTCAAACCAAACACAATACACGGCAATCGTGTTGTTAAATGTGATTTTTTAGTATAATTACATTTGAATAGCTAGTGTTTGAGATATTAAATCTGAAATCAGATTTGTAAAATATGTAAATGATAGAATCTGTGTTAATTATTGATTATTTTTATGCTCCATTTAAGAGTCTTGTATTAAAGGCTTGATACTATAGATGGTAAATTTGAACCTCGCGGAAGCCGGAGGTATAGTTGGTCTCTACTTGAGTTTTCCCACCTGGCTGCACTTAGTAATAAATAAATCCTTAATCAATCCTTTTAACAAGCGTTATAACTTAACTTTGAATGTTTTTGATAAGTTCTAATTACATTATAAAGATGCTACAAATGTACAGTGAGAAGTAAAACAAATTGTAAAAGATGTAGATTAAAAATAAAGTTTTATGTTAAGGCGAGTCTTCACATAATGTAATCACCAAGTTACTGAAGATGATCACGTTTAGCAGGACGCAAAAATTTCAAATAGACCTTTAAAATGGAATATACAGGCGTCGATCCAGCTTTCCGTAAGTTTAGCATTACTTTGCCATTGACCGATAGCACGTTAAAAACGTTGAGTGTGATCCTTGCCGAACCATATAAATTTCTAAGCAGTTTTTTTAAAATTTTTTATTAAATTATTTTTTGATCGAAAATTTCAAAAACTTTAGAAAAAATTTGTTATTTTTTATAATTTATTAACGGTCCGCACCAGTCTTGGCTGATCGCGCTTGCGCGTTTCATTGCCATGTTGCCGGATCGATACTACCTTTGCGAAATTAAATAAAACCTCAGAAACACATGTTTTTACATCGGTTTGTTTCATCATTTTATGTTATTTTCATTTGACATGACATGACATTTTTCATGACATTTTATATTTTTTTTTTGTTTCATCATTTTATGTTAATTTCTACAATAGTCTTGTATTACACATATACGCATTCTACGGAAGTCCTTCCTTTTGGATTTTATTTATATTCATGAATATCGATAGAAACTCCGAGAATCCAAACCTAGTGTGGGAATCAAAACTAATTGTCTACAATCTGCAACACTAATGTAGAAATTAACATGAAATGCACCAACAAACCGAAGTAAAAAAAATAATCTATGGTAAAAACATGTATTTTCCTGAGGTTATAATTTTGTTCGGAAAGACAGTATTAATCCGGCAACATGGCAATGAAACGCGCAAGCGCCATCAGCTAGGTCTGGTGTAGACGGTTAATAAAAAAATATCTGCGTGCGCCGCCAAACCTGAAGCAAAAGAACGTGTTTCCAGGAACATCCAGCGCTTCAGGTCTTTGAAAATTTAAGTCTATGGGCTTAATTGGAGAGTTACGCTTGACAATATTCAGAGCCTATTTTCTTCCAAACTGTGGCAAATTGAAATTTTCTTCATTTCAGTTCTTCAATTCAATTGAAACAAACAATCTGATGTTCTATTTTGAAAATTATTTAATCAAGGTAAAAATTCAAAGCATTTTGTTTGGAAAATTGTCTTTTCGGCTCATCAATCATAACTTCCAAGTTTTTCCGAGATGCAGTTTTTTATATAAAATCGTACGTTTTTCAACAAATTTCAACATTTCCAAATCGAACCGACATTAATAGAGTTATGCAGAAAGTGGGACTTTTCTGTAACATACAAAAAGTTACATTTAGAAATGTTTTCCGGGCTTTACAAAAAGCTGTTTTCCCAAAAAACATTGATAACGTTTGTCTTGAAAAATCGTCTTTTCAGAACAGGACACGATTTCGGATTTCTGCCAGGGTCTAGGTTTTTTTTAATTCGAAATTTCATAAATATCGTAATGACTCAAGACAGTAAGTTGTAGTTACTACTACAAATTATTAGAAACAGGCAACCGCCACTAACCCGTCCAGACAAAATTTCTAACTTGTTGCGCTATAAAAGTTTAACTGATTATATTCAGAGCAGTTTCTCGTTTTCTTCGAAACTTAGTAAATGTATCGCAGAGAAATAGTCAACTCGTCATTCTTAGTACTGTTTCAAATTTGTTATTAGGGTAAACTGCTATATCAATCTGTTTCTGGAAAATTATAAAACGTAAATGTAAAACTAATCAAAAGTAATTTTATTGTACGTTCTTGGACAGCACGCTAATTACTAACACTTCTTAATTGATAAATGTCAGTTACAAAAAACCGGTGACCTGAGTTGTTTTATTTTATAAACATGTAATGACAGAACTTCGTTAACAAATTTTAAAGATACAGGTTTCCCCCTTAAATATTTCAAGCATTGTTGAATACAAACCATACTTAAAGTTAGGGAATGAGGCTCACATTCTTCCGATCGACAGTCGCCTTGCCGAGCCTTGTACTATTGGTACAATAGCATTAAAACTGTGGATGAATTGTGAATGTTTCAGGAAAATGTTGCGATTTCTATTATTAACGTAAGTAATAAATGCATAAAATATTACTAGTAAATTAAGCGAGAGCACATTTAATATCGACAATTTACTAAAATTCAAAATTTTAGCAAACAAGTATAGCTTTTCAATGACATCTTGATTTAAATAAAATTTTGTGATTTTAAAAACCACTGTGCAGCTAGTGACTTAGTAAAGTTAACATGGGTATTATTACTAATGATTATACAATGCTATAATAAAGTGCATATTTAAGTGGTTCAAGGGAGCTCGATGCAGTAAATAAGTTATAGATCTGAAAGTAACTAAATAAATATGCGTTAACGGAATACAATAGCAGCTCTGAAATTTACTGTCACTTGATTTTAATAAAATAGTTTACATATTGCCAAAGCGAAGAGCAGGAATGGAATGGTACTCAGCCGTATATTTCCTGCAAAAAAAAACACAATATTACACAATAATTAACTCCAGAGGGATAGTCATTAATCGCAATTCTACTGCGGGTTTTGCTTATGAAATTTTAGTTTCATAATTTTTTGTTCGAAAAGCTTCAGAAAGTGCTCACTCAGTAAACACTCTCAACTGTAAAGCAGACTTGCAAATATCAAAACAACTTATTAGCGAATTAAGTCAAATAATTATAACAATTTCATAAATTCAGAAACAATTACTCTCTGTCTATGTCTCTGAAGAAGGCATACACCACTTTTGTTCTTACGAAACATCAGAAAATAGTTGTTCGTTACTAACTCGGAAACTTATTTCAACATCTAATTAAATTAAGCCCAGGGAGTTACATTTTTATAAATATTAAGAGTGATTTTTTCAGACAAGACCACCAATTTCGTTGACGTTATACAGGGTGCCCCGTAAGCTCATGATGAAAAGGGTACTGCTTTATTCTTTGGATCAAAAGAAGACGATCTGACCTAACTTTTATTAACAAAAAATGTCTGACTGCTCTGCTATTGATGGTAAAAGTTCTTCAAAAAAATTATCTTTTTTGAAATATCGGGAGAATGGTACGATGTATTTTGGTGAAACTCGCTGTGAATTTGTTCTTATGTAAGACCCATATTTTGATGAAACAATCGAGTTCAGCCGTTTTGGCCAAGTGGTGAATTCTTGAATGTCATGATACAAAAACTACCAGAACTTTTTAGTTGGAGGATGAAATCAACTCATTTTTTTTAGGTTGATGCACTAATCATTTATTCACAATTTTGTGCTCTATGTAAAATCTTGCAGCATTCATAGTTTTTGCGCAAAAAATATGTCTCTTTCCTTGCCACTTAACAGTGTTAGGCATTAACTGCCGTAATATCGTGATACGAGGCATAAATTAATTGTCAATCAATATTACAAATTCGTTTCGAATGATCTTTTATAATGAAGAAGTGACCGACATGGTCTAAGCACAGCTTATATATCATATGATATTTAAGCTGTGGCTTAAGTATTAGGGTTTTGCGAAGACAACTTGCGTGAACGCGTATTTGCAGTTAATGTCAAACATTAAGATCACATCTAAAAAAAAAGAAATTTTTTTTGTAGAACTTTGACCATCAATAGCAGAGGAGCAGATAGTAACATTTTTTGTTAATAACTGTTAGGTCAGATCGTCTTCTTTTGATCCAAAGAATAAAGCAGTACCCTTTTGATCTTGAGCTTACGGGACAGCCTGTATATAAAGAAAAGTTAAAGTCGGTTAATCTGCAGCATAAGTCTTGTGATTAAAATTGATATTACAAATCGATTAAAGATGAGGTAAGGTAATGGATATACGGACTAATTGACCTAATTCTTTTACACGTCATAATTTTCGTATCGGTTGAAGTTTTCTCGGCTGCAAACCATTTGCTGAAAGGTGGTGAATTTGTGAAAGGTGAATCTGGAAGTATCGCTATCTACTGTGCAAAAGATATCAAAGAATAGAAGAAAGAGATAATGAATGCAAGGAACGTCTGTGAATACTTCCATAACGATACTCTGCAGCACGATTTATTCTCAATTGCAGATCTGCAACACTGTTAAATTGACCAAACAGTCGTTCAAAGTTCTTTAAAGGCTTTATTGGGATTGCTTTTGTTCTGCAATCTTTCAGCGTAGGTACACATTAAAGATGAAATATTAATGTCAATTCTCTTCGATACAATGTGTATATTTTCCTGATTGTATTTCAACTTAATTCAAAAGAAATTCCTGGGTTCCAGTAAATTTTATTGTTTACAATTTAAAATAGTACAAAAACGTTTCGGTGTTTTTCTCCACCTTCATCAGTTTGTCTAAAATATACATTCACAGTCGTTATTCAAAAACGAACGAAATAACGACTGTGAATGTATATTTTAGAGAAACTGATGATGGTGGAGAAAAACACCGAAACGTTTTTGTAATATTTTAAATTGTAAACAATAAAATTGACTTGAACCCAGGAATTTCTTTTGAACTTCGATACAATAATAAGTCTAGTAAATTGCTCTAGAATCCAAATTTGTATACCTCCACATGTTGCTCCAGTATCTCGATAGCCTTCTTGACACTTGCAAATACTGACGTTAGGATCTTGCAGTAAAAGCAGATTTTCTTTTGGAATGTTCGCCTCTTTGGCTGGAATGCAATCTGCGTTGTCGACACAATCTTCATGCTTGGTACAAATATGATTCGGACCTGATAACAGAAAATCTTTTATTTATCGGGAATTATACAGGGTGTTCAATTTAAGAATTTTTTATCTTGCAGTTTTTACGTATCTGCCTGCGTTTGGCACTGAATTAAATCAATTAAAGAAGAATTAATGTAATAATAAATTATGGTTCCCGAAACCGATATTTCCGCAGTTGCAGCTTTTAATGAAAGCATCATCATTCAGCAAGACACAACTATTTGCTAAAGTTCAAGATACGTGAAAGTTCTCGGGCTAACCCAATTTTATCGACATGTCAGGAGACGACACAGATTTTAGATCTTCGCTGTCTTTGTTAGGTACTCAAAAACACTTTCTTTATACAAAGCTACCCCAAAATATTTTAAATCTGAATTGAAAATGAATTTGAAACCATCAACACATTTTGAGAATTGTTGCAGCAGGCAAATTGGCACGGACTTTAAAAACTCTCTTACCAATAATATTGAGGAAACTTAATGCGATTTATTTAAATATGATCCTTCAATTTGTTTTACAAAAATACGCACGGCGCTAAATGTAAATTTTCAAACTTCGCGCTATTCACCGGTGCCAAGCTGGGAAGATGCGCGCATATAAAATATTTGTGTTAACGTTAGACGCGAGTGTAGTCCAGACTAAGTCTTGTTCTATGGTCCAGACAGAACTAGCAGCGTGCGTATCCCCCGTAATCCATCAAAATGCGGTAAAAATTTTTCAAAAAATGTGTTCTGTCCATTATTTCATCGCAGATAAAAACATAAAAATAATGTTTTCGATATTCGGCATTAAAATCTGGCAATTCTACCGGGGAACTAACTTTGTCAAGGTTTGTCAAGACTATTGTTAGCTTTTATTCCAGATGTGCGCATATAATATTTCAAAAATCATACGATAACCATACGTCACTGAAACATGGTATAAACGATAGTTGGATTATTGAATACATTAAACTGCTGAATAAGTTAAAATGTTAAAGGGATTTTCATAAGGAGTTGACTTATAGGAAATGACAGTTTACCTTGTAATACAGCCGAACATTCTGCATTTACAGGCGGATTATTGTCCCCACATAAACAAAATCCTTTTATACATGTGGTATTCTTTATAAGACTGCAGGTTGATTGACCAGAGCACTTTTTAGCCTTCTCCACTGCAACAAAATAGTAGTTTTTGATACAAGGGCGAAAAATGTCATTAGTCGAACGACGACGGCGTTTGACACCAGAGACGAAATCGAGGGTGTCATCGAGGAGTCCTAAGAACGGATTTTCGCCCTCGTTTCGAACAATATTTTTTATTTGAATGAAAGACAACACGAATAATAAGTTGTAATAAATAAGAATAGATAAAAATAAAATACATCGATTTTATATCTTAAATGTCACGTTTTGACGTTTATAATTTTTCAAAAGCGTATACAAGTAAACCAATGAGTATTGAAACTTCAATGTTCTGTACCCCACCAAAAGTTAGAGTTGCCGCAAATGTTGGTTTCAACTTCCAGCCTTGAAGCAGCTATTTTCACAGTATGGTGTTTGTACAAGTTGCATATTTTGCATTACATTTGCGGTCTTTAAAAAGATCGTGTTTTGCGTAATAGGCCATTAAAACGACTTTGAGACTGAACTTGTGACAAAGTTATAATTTACAAATTGTACATAAACTCTAAAGAATGATGAAAATTTGTCGATAAACCTATGAAATTCATTAAAAAAGCATGTCGGTTACTTTAAAAATAAAATGACAGTGACAAGTGTCAAAAATATAATGAACAACAACTGTGTGGGTAAAAGCCCGTGCGTAAAGTAAAACAAATTAATACCACTAAAGAAAAGTGCTTCTTCAAGATCATCGCTTCTGATCGGAAAATGGCAGTTTTTGATTCATTCAAAAACTTAATGAAACATTATATTTTTATGATATTTTTTGGGTATATTTTTGTTTTTATTGCACACCATAGCAAAAAAATAATCGATCAGCGTATAGCGCTTGCTGCAAAGTATGTTTGAAATGGGTTGTCGAATACTGCTCCTGCAACAACCACAATCTTGGGAACGTGATTCAATAAGATTTGAAAACATAGTACTTGTTAATGGTATTGAAAATGAAATAGTCAAATGCGCACTAGGGAATAATCATGATAAACTTTAAACATTCGAGTGAGATTAATAAACACTAATGATAATGATGATCAAGTTTAATAATGAACACTCGTGGATAAATGCAGTAAAATATTAGTATGATGCAAGATTATAACGCTGCATGTTTATGACATTTGCTCTACAAGTCTAAATTTGAAATTAATACTAGTACTAATAATACGATTATTTATTAAGTATTTGCCACACAACTGTACTTTCGAAAGTCTGCGTCTCATTATGTCTGAACAGAACTAACATACATATCGATCTCGTTTTGAAATGTCTAATCGGCCCCTTTCTCCTGAATAATGTAAAAATGCGTTGAATAATGTCTATAGGGGAACACTTTTTATTTTTCGCTGTAGAATATAGGGCGCATCAAAAAGTTTGCTTGTGCTGTGGTAGAAGTCGCGCACTAAGATGAACCAATAAAATGTTCTTTCATTTGGCAAGATATTGTTTATTGTTAAAACAGACTACCTACTATAATAAATAAAATAAATTTATATGTAGACTTACTTGAAGGTGGTTGATTGTTAGGTGTCGACTTCCCAAACGTGGTTAATCCATGAGCGTGATTAAATCCTGCGAGAACCAATAAAAGAGGAATGGACAGTGTCACGTAAAATGCATTCATCTTGAATATATTCACGAGCCAGTTTTTTGCGTTTTCCGTTAAGCTCTCAAAAACAGAGCGTCCAAAAACGTACACCAGTTTAAGTGCGCGAGTAATGTAAAACGACTTCTTAGCTTTGGATTGTGAAGCCGATAAGAAGGTAAGGTGGTCACTGCGGCGCCTAGCCGTTCTAATCCAGACAAAGTGGAATAGTGACTTGCAGCATATTTATATTGATATAGTTTGCCTTTTAAACATATTATAATTTAATGTTTATTGCAAATTATTGATATTATTTTACTGATAATTGTTCGATACCAACGTGTGTATATTATTATTCAACATAGGAAAATTTCTGAGCCCTTTAAATGCAGATAAACTTTACTGGACTAAACACAAGAAACACGCAAACCATTGCGTCACTAAAACCTGCAAAGATGGTTGGCTGACCTAAAGCTAATCTGCAAATTGTTTTATCGCCAACCAACTTATTTCCTGGCTAAATTTAACTTAGCATGTTTGCTTTTAAATGTCAATTTCGTTGTGCTTACAAGCTTATTCTGACCTACACTTCCGAATCAAATGCGGCAAATACAGTACATATTTGAATATTAACAATGTAACTCCCAAGATTTATTGATCGCAACAGCCTAATACATGCTATATTATAAATATAGCTTTTTTGCTTGATTATAAATATTTATCATGTTGAAATAATATTAAATTATATCATACAGTATAAATGTTATTTATTATAAACAGGTTTTTATGCGCCTATATCTTAGTATGGAGGACCATACAGGCATTTTTATGGGAACTTGGCTTGTTATGTACACATTCTGTATCTGAATTTGAAAGCATGTCCACATTTTCCGATACACGTACGCATAATATACAGGGTGATCAGTTGTATGCTCATGAGCAGTCCAGTTTGAATTTGGCTTGACGGTGGTGGGGGGGCCGATTCTTGACAATGGTGAAGGGTCTGTAACAGACTAAAATCGAAGAATCTAATAGTTGTCAATTAATCCATATTAAACATCGGGTCGAATTGTGAAACCCGTCGAAATACCTTTTACAAGATTTATAAGCCTGTAAGAGAATTAAGTTTAATCATTAATAATACAGATATTAAACGAAAAAAACTCAATTTTTCCATGCGAATCATCCGTTGAGGTATTTTAGAATAATGAAATTACCACAGCAAACGACAATTGTCTATTCATAACGAAGTATTTTCCAATCTAGCAAAGCAAATCAATATTTTTTCTCCGGAAACCGGACCACCCTGTATATTTATTTCGCTCTTACCAACAAAACGCATTTCCTTTGTTTTTATTGTATTTTCTACGACTTGAAATACCTATAGGCATCCCACAAATGGTTAATTTGTCATGTTATAACTTGGGTTCTCAAACACATTTTTATTTTCCAGTCACTAACATTTTATTAAGTACAATAAATGTATCATTCGAATACTTTTGAATAGAATTTTTACAGAAGTAAGTATTATGAAATATTTTGAGATCCTTTCTTCCTACTTTGAACAAAAATACTTCGGCATTATAAAATAACGCACATCCAAAATAAGCCATAAATAAAACATGATAATGTGTAATATCCTTAATACTACACAATAATGATGAATAAACTCTTGGAAGTAACTAAACAAATGCGAGAATGATTGTTAAGTATATACAACCCACAAAAGCTACAATTAGTACTAAATTTTACAAATGTATTCTTAGATTTAACACTGATATAAGTCAAAAGTAGGTAAGTTAAAATTCAATAATGACTTGAATTAAAAATGTTCCCATTCTTGTAATGCGTTAAAATACAATCTACTAAAAGTTCGGAGAATTATGGAATTGGTACTCCGTACTAATCGAAGTAGATTTATTTAAAATGCTAGTCAATTTGACTAGTAATGTTCTCTCGAGTATGTGAAAATATTTTTACAAAAATTTAAAATCTTCAATTGAAAAATTGTCATTTGTAAAAAAAATAAATCTAGACAAAGTAATCTTCCTTAAAATAACCTTTGCTTTAAGGCCATTTACTATATCTAAGCGCTTAAACCTATTCAGACAAAGAACAATATTTCCAAAACCCCACTAGGACACCGGGAATTCAAATTGTTTAAGTGATGTCTATGTCTATAGGTAGATATACATATTGAATGCTTGAGCTAAAAAGCATATTGGAAATACACAATGTTTAAGTAATGCATTGCTATCCTAAAATAATCTTTTCTCATATGAAAATAGACTATGAACATTCCCTTCCAGTTGTGCTGAATGAGACCGAAGTTCAAACCGCAGATCACCATTATACATTTTGGTCCTAAAATTTTCCCCTGTTTTTTTGCGGATTGTTTATAAAATATTAGACTTACCTTAGTTGTATCAGCGACTTTACCCCAATGTCCTGACATCCATGTCTAATGCCGCACTGCAAATATGGTACGAATCTCAATACTGATCCCTTATCGACGATGCTTCCGCTAACTCCTTGAGCCACTTTCAATTTATCCACATCACTAGAAAATTAATATTTAATATAAATAAAAACAGAAGCCGCAATAGAATCGGCCACCTGTGGAAATATCGGTTCATAGCTGAACCCATCGCGTCCTTCCTATCCATCGCCTCGATACTGCCCATTCCTCTATACTTCTTCAGACGAACCCCATCTGAGAAGAAATATTCCCCAGGAGCTTCAGAAGTTCCGGCCAACAGGGAACCCATCATTACTGAAATTAATCGTAAATTACGGGAAAAAATGGTTTGGGTTTGTTGAATTACCCGTTGATGCACCAAGTGATAGACCTTTAATGATATGTCCAATGGACTGAATGCCTCCATCTGCAATCACCGGCACACCAAATCGTCTTGCATATTCAGACACTTTGTAGACAGCTGTAGCTTGTGGACGACCAACTGCCATTACTTCCTGAGTTATGCATATGCTGCCACTACCCATCCCAACTCTTAGAGCGTCGGCTCCAGCATCAATTAATGTTTTTGCTTGCCGTTTTGTTACCACTAAACACAAAATTTAAATGTACAACAATTAATATAATGCGGAAATTATATAATCTCACATTCCGTGATGTGTACCTAAGGTAATAGTTTTAAGCTTTAGGCGACGTTTTGACGTCGCAAACAACTAAATAAATAAATTGCTTACCATTTCCAGCCACTACTTGCAAATTGGGGTATTTATTCTTGATGAACTTGATCATTTCCACTTGATATATCGAGTTTCCTTGGGATGAATCAAGAATAACTACATCGACTCCTGCTTGAGCGAGAAGAGCTAGACGTTGTTTGTCTTCCTCTCTCGTGCCAATGGCAGCACCCACAATTAGTTGTTTGTTGTCGTCTTTTGAGGAAAGTGGATAGCTTTTCGCTTTTTTTAAATCCGTGCGAGCCATCAACGCTATCAAGTTGCCTTGTGCATTTACAATCGGAAGCTTTCCTTTTTTGCTCTTTTCCAGAATGTGGTTTGCTTCTGTTAAAGTTACTCCAGATTGGGCGGTGACAAGATTATCCAGTTTCGTCATAATATTTCCCAATTTTGTGTTTCCCAAATCTTTGTCGTCTAGGAAATCAATATCGCGACTAGTAACGATACCGATGAGTTTGCCGCCAAGCTTTCCGTCTGCAGTGATCGGGATCCCGCAAAAACCATGCTCTTTTTTAACAACAATTACATCAGATACTGTATTATCGGGACTGAGCACTACAGGATCATGAATGAAACCGTGCTTGTACTTTTTCACTTTCAGTACTTCGTTTGCTTGGTACGATGGGAGGCAGTTGTGATGTATAATTCCAATCCCGCCACAAAGCTAAATAGAAAAATCATATAATTTCACCGAAGGAGCCGAGTGGGTTTTCCTGAAATTTTATGTGCAAAAAGTCGGTATTTACCGCCATGGCAATGGCCATATCCGCTTCGGTAACAGTATCCATAGGTGACGATACTAGAGGCGCTTTCAAAGTAATTTTCTTCGTTAGGGGACTGCTTAGATCCTAAATTAACGCAATACTGTATCAACCAACTCAAAATGTTTAAAAAATACACGTACCACTTGGTCCGGGGAAAAATCAATATACCCGGGCAGAATAATAAAATCACTGAAAAAATCATTATTTAAAATATGGTTGAGGTATTTTATAATTACGGTATACTTGTAAGTGAGTCCGTTTCCTTTTTCTATCATACCCTGAGCGGACAAACCATCTTGCAGGTCATCTTCTGTTTCTGATTCATTGGATAAGTGCACACGAGCACCGATATGATTTGCGTCACCCATAATTCAGATATGTCTGAGGAAAAATGTTCTAATATTGGAAATGCAGCCGATTTATATATGCGAGCTCATACACTCGCAGACTGAAGTAATAAATTATACATTTCCGTCTTTTACGCGTTTTGCTTTCTATTGCTTGCACCGGGGGTGTTATAGCCAAATGAATCGCAATATATATTCTCGTAGATGAATTAATAAAACAGGCTCATCAAGGTTTATTTAATAAAAATGAAATAAACCTCGATATATTTCGTGTATTCGCAATCGTTCGCTTATTAAATGCTTTATTCTAACTTTTACTGCTTCTTAGAGGTTTTTTGATTAAAAAAGTGAAAGCGAGCGAGGAAAGTTAGTTCTATAACTGATGTCAGGCGCACTTCGATAAGATAATGGGCTTAGAAAATTCACCGTGCAATTCATATAGGTAAAGGATCAGAAATGGAAAATCTTCGGACAATCAAAAACAAATTTCTAGGCGAAGCACGAGAGGTTTGCATTTTCAGATATGTTTTTAAACACCAAAGAGTGTAAGTTCAAAAACTAGACGTTAGTGTAAGCTTTCAACGAAAACACCTTTGGAGACGCAAGTTGCTTGTGCTAAACGCCAGGCAAAAAATATTTTCTACGACGGTCTTAAATTGCGAAAAACTGTACAAGTATTTCTTGAACAGAGAAGACAGTGGAGTAATTTGTTAGCTTAATGAAAAGAAGTGAATTTCAACAAGTGAAAAGTGATCGAAAACCGCATTTCCACAACAAAAACCACAAAGTTGTTGGTAGAGGAATTATTTATAAGATACTAGACCAACTAGAAAATGACTGTAGATTCTGTTAGACTGTGAAAGCAACGGGTTTTTCTAGTTTTGCAACACTCAATCCAAATCCAAATTTACTTTTTCTAAAATAAAAGCTAATGTAAATGCAGAGAACTTACTAGCTCGAGCCTCAATGACACGACTGAATCTACGTTGAAGACTTACCAAGTGTATTAATTAAATAATGATTATAAACGCTGACTGCTAAAAGACACGAAACCCTTCATGTGAGTTTCCTAAATCAACCCATAAAAATCGACCAGTAGTTCGTCACTAATTAACGAAAATAATGAAAATAGAACAAATACATTTTCAGACAAAAGCATGAGGAAACCTTACCAAGTTTGTTTAAACTGTGCACGCACGTGGAGAGCAAGTTAGGTTATCTTACCCGCACAAAATAAATCAACAACCGATTTATGGATATTCTCATAAACGTGGCCTCGACGTGAAACGTAAAATTAATTTCCGTATGTAAATCGCCGGCAAAATGTTAGGTTATTTCAACAAAAGGCCATTCGGGCTCCACTTTTGAACCATTGAACTAATAGAACTTACCTAAGTACCCGGCTTATATTGCTTTATCTTGCTCCTTTGCCAGTGGAAAAAAAGAGAGGTCAATACTTTTCAGTCTCCCCCTTTTTGGATCAATGTTGATGTTGATATTGAAAAGTGTAAAATGGCTTTTTATAAATTATGTTTAATTTCAAAGGTCACTTTCACTTTAATTGGGATCTGTCAAAGGTTTCTCCTCACGGGGGCGCAGTTTGCATCTTATATTTGCACTTTCCAGAGATGGCGCTGAAAATCGCAAATATGTCTGAAATATCCATGATCAGCAAACGGTCCGCGAATAAATCTCGTTAATTTCTTTAATTCTAACAAGACTAATTTCTTGTTTTAAATCCCTAGCTGTAATCTCCATATGGTCAATGATGTAGGATAGTTCTCCGTCCTGTTTTTCTACAAAGAAATCGGTCTCTGGCCTCTACAACGAGATAAATTACTGTAGGGAAATTACATATGTATATATATTTAAAGGACGGAGCTGGTTATTTATTCGTACATTCTTCAAGCAACATCATTCCTCTGTAGACCGTGATACATTTTAACTAGTGAGGTTTTCGTCTTTTTAGACCGTCGTTGAAAATTAATTCTGTCTGACGTTTCGCAAGCACCAGTAACATGCATTTTCAGAGGTGGTTTGCTTGGTGCTGCAACCAGCTATGAAGAAAAAATAGTTTAGGCTTTCGTCAGTTAGTACCTATAACATTTAGTAAAGAAACATTATATATTAGTTGATGTATTTTTAAATTTCTGGCTAGATTTACCCTAAAAAAACTATTAAATTGCCACCATTGCATCAAAAAGAGCGGACTTTAGAATGCTAATCCACGTGACTGGGAAAAGGAAAACCTGTCTAATTTCCTGAATTTATTTCCATTTAAAGATTCATACTGTATGGTGGGTAGTTTGGGCGGTAACGGGAAAAAGTGGCGAATATCTGCCCTTGGCTCTGGTTTATTGAAAAATCTTATTGCGCAATTGCGCGCATGATCTTGAGCAGCTTATGGATTTTGATCTAAAACAAATAGTCTTGATAGAGACTTTTTAACTATGTGTAACAATTGATAAGAATAATTTTGGTTTATTTTTGCGATAAATTTATTTAAAATCCAATTTACATCGTCCCTTGACCATAAGAGTTTGATTGGAAAGAATCATATGGTGGCTCCCCACCACGACGCACGACACGGCAGTCCCGTGACGTCAAGTCCTGTCACATATATTTTTGTCAACATTTCCGTTCCTTTTTAATTATTACATGGATGTCTAGAAGCCGAATAGTCTTGTTAACTTTTTAAATAATAAATTTATATATTTTACTGTATCCCATATTCGTCTTCATTGTTTTTGTGCATGTCATAAAAATCCATACTGCTAACTACCTGGTATAAAGTAATGAAGTGTGACATGAAGAAAAACCTTCGTTCCTTAAGATATTCAATTTACCTTAATTGAATCGTATCAAGTTCAGGTGTTATCAATTTCTTGCATTTTGCAGAACAAGCAAGTCAGTTGTTTTCTAACCATTCGGCTGCAAGGTTAGGATTGGTGTCCAGAAGTAGAATGAAAACAGGGTACAGTTCAGTTCAGTCATAGTTCAGTTTTTATAGTAAGGTAAACGTAGTTTTTCAGAAAAAAAGGTACTTGTTAAATATAACTGCATTAAATTCGATTTACTCGACTTTTTTTATAACAATTAAACAGTGTTTAGTTTTGGAGTAGCTAAAGGCTCGACCAGAAATGTATGTAAAATAAAATGAACAGTTGCCTTTTAAAACTTGCATCCCTTAGTTCAACATTCAATAAATTCATTAATCTAACTGCACACTAAAATGGTTTGTGGATTTTATGTTTAGTAGTGCTGAACTAGTTTAATTAAGGTTAGTCGATCTTATTTGCGTTTCCCGAATGTTGTATTGTTGTTTTTCTCAATTTGTTTGTTATCCTGTTTAGGCATAGCTGCATGGCTAAGACTACTCGACCCAGAGCAAGGATGGACTGGTATTGTAAGCACCTTCAGAGAAATTCCTACATCCTGAGCTACAACAAAAAGGGCTCTTACATCACAAAAAATAAAAAATGGGATCTTATTAAACGACTGACCAAAAAATTACACTCAGGTAACCATATACACTTTATTTATTAGCTTTTGCATGGAAAATGCTGAAACATAACACTTGCAGAAGATGAACTACCTGGAATTAAAGTTCCTGAAGAAGCAAGATGTTCAGACTCTGCTGTTAAATTTCTTCCTAGACAAGACGTAATGTTATATGGCATGATTCCAGCCCGAGAACAAAGACTATACAGCACTTGCAGAAACTGTAGCAGGGTTTTTAATCCACTTGACACTTTAACACATAGAAATTGTACAAAATCCCATGCACCCCATTCGGTGCTGCTAAAAAAGAAAGTGAAAAGCAAAAACGGAAACAGCAAGAGTCTAAGTTCAAATGGTAGTCCTAGTTCTCATTCATCAAATAGCACTAGTCCTGTTCTACCCAGCCCATCCAGTTTGCTAAAAGAACCAGTAAAAGACTTCGAATTTAAGGTAAACTTCCTTCGGTGTCCTTTTAACGATAGCTCATTTAATTTTAACTATTTGCATTATATCTATTACTCTACGTGAGATGCTCATTTAATGCTTCCTCTGGAAAACATCACCTCAACTCACAATCTGTAATTTACCCTACATTAAATGAACAACTCATTTAGCACGAAAGCTTACATTTATATACCTATTAATGGTTTTTCCATTTATGCTTATTTTTTATCAAACTATCGATCATGCACATTCAAATTCAAAAAATTTAGAGAATTAGTAAAATACTTTTAGAACTCAAGTATTGTATTTTTATAAGGAAACATGAGACAAGTTAGTGATTAGTTTCGGTGACTATGCAGTATGCTATAGAGCAGACTTTTTTATAACTTAAAATTTCTCGAAATGCCAACTTTAAATTTGAAATGTTCTTTTAACACATATTAAGGGTGTTGCAAAAACACATAAAAAGAAAAAGTGAGGGTCGCAACAAGATAAGAAAGTAGAAAAACCCGATTTGCGATTACTCTGTCTGAAGTCTGAAAAATCTCAATCTAAAAAGGATGCCATTTATTTAGCGGCATATGTTTTGTTTATTAATCAATAGCATATTTATCAACACTAAATCAATAAATCTCAATTCTTTACGGCTTAATCATAAAACAACAGTTGGCATTGAAAGTAGTGTTATCATGTTTAACATTTTTTACAGTGTCTCGACATGATTATTGTGTGCGAATCAGACTTTTTTCATTTATATCAACATAAAAATGTTGATCGAATAATAAAGGCCAGACACATTAAAAGGAAAACCAATATTATTTTCTGCATTGTTGGTATAAAGCACACCAATTATGCCTCAAGAAAACTGAAACTCATACAATTTATTTATAATTTCAACTTTTTTTTGAGCAATGGATTTATATGGTTGGTATCAATGGTTGAATTATCACCTGATAAAAATCCTCCCTTTTGTGTGGAAAATATGTTAGCGAAAGCTAGCAAATGCTCAAATATCTGCACGCAAATACTCCTAGGGATACTACATCAAATAATTAACCGGGAATTATTCCCATAATTACAATACATCATTTTACTATGTTTAAACACTACATAATATGAGCTGAACATTAACTACCTTTGCCTAGGATTATTTGAGTTCAATAGGCAAGGACAAGGATGCACACATGCTTCTTGGCTAAAATAGTTCAATTCAGAAATTTTTCACATTCAGTGCTTTTTTTGGAATAAACTATTGCAACATTATTTTTGTCTGAATGGTTTTGAATAAAACGCTTAAATATAATTTTTTATGCAAAAATTTAGGAATCAAGTACTTTTGTACAAAACCAAAGTAATGTTGAAAAGCAAAAAAATGTTTGAAAAGCTTAAATTTACAATATTCTGCTCGCTATCTGAAACATTTTCTTGTACTTTATTATATTAATTAAAACCAGCCTGTATAATGCACAAGGTGGGCTTTAGGTTAATGGCAAAGATGGAGTGATACTACCTATAAGAAATGCATGAAACTAGTTGCACATAGTATAGAACTAGTATGTTGATATATATACAGGGGCATGTGAGTTATAGGTGATTTTTAATTGAAAAAAAATGTCACAATCTGATCGAATCGTTTTTTGGAATCATTTATTAACGTCTGCTATAAGTTTGACGGCAATTTGCAAAGGCTTCAGGGCACTTTATTAACGCTTTCCAAATAGCATGACTGGCCTATTTCAGTACAATGTACGTTACTTTAATAAGCATTTAATGGGTATTTTGTTATCCTTCTTAAGCGAAAGGGGGTTTTGATAATGTCAATACAGACTGCAGTTTTCAAGTTACATTGATTTTAAGTCTAGTATTCCTTATCCATGCGAATTATTATTTGATTGTACAGGTAACACACCCAGCAATTTTAATTATAAAATTGATTTTTTATTGAAATAAAATCCTTTAAAACTATTAAACGATCTAAATGTTCTGTATATCGGATAATTTCTTGTTGCTATTGTATTTGTTTCCAAATTTGACCAAAACAGTTTGTTATAAATTTTCCTTATTCTCAGTCATACCTATAGCTCTGAAAATGAGCAAAGTGCTATAAGTTGTGCCTTTTTCAAATGAATAGCCAAGCTTATGGTAAATTTAATTTTTTTATCCCAGAATAGAAAAATATTGGTAATTGAATCTTCATTTTATTGGAACATTTGATTTTCAAAATATTTCAAGCATTTAAATGTCTTTCAGTTCAGAGAAAATTATATGACATTAATTTATGATACCCAGTTTGGTAAGGACAAAACTAAAGTTTACAATTGTATTTCCGCTTATTAGATTCTCATTGGGCATCAAGCTTAATTGTACATTTTTTGATCAAGTTTAAAACAGCCAACGGGCTAGCAGTCAAATAACCAGCTGTGATAGTTTAGCATTAAAGGTCCTTTTAGACGGTCAGTTCAGTTTTACGTTCAGCTTCAGTTTCAGTTCAGTTGAAAAATAACGGGTATTTCGACAGTTTCTCAGTTGAGGTTTAATTATTGTCGTGCACAGTGCAGTCGCCATGGATGTAGAATGCCTAATTGCGATAGCGTTGGCCTTAGAATTAAAGAAACCAAGGAAGAAAAGAAGCAAATGGACCAGACATTTAATGGTGAACATCTTTTTGGTCATTAAGGAACCGAAACAAGTTAACAGGATGTATACAACCACAAAGATGGTTTGTATACTCCGGCTGCACTTTTATCCGACTCCTTAACTTTGTTAACTTCTTTATTGTAAGCTGAACGCAGGCTATTAATTTTTGCTTAAACTGTTTCGCATTTTCGTCGCATTTTCATCACGTTCTTTCAATTTCTTCAACAAAACCTTGTAACATGCCTCTCTTTTGTGGGTGTTATGGTACTGCGAGTACTTTTTTCACAAGCATGGGTGTTTTTCATAAAGCTCAATAAACTCCTCTAGGAAGTCGTCGTCTGACCAGGCTACTCAGAATACTGAGACATGAACGGACAGCTTTATTTTGCACAACAGCTTAACTGATAACTGATACACAAACTGTTGGCAAACCCATCGAGCCACAGCTCCGTATCAGTTTCAGTTTTCTCGTTATTTTTTTGTGTTTAGACATACAGATAACTCATAACTCTACTAAAACTGAAACCGAACTGACCGTCAAAAAGGACCTTAAATTATGTTTGTCTGTGTATCATTTGATTATAGCTTTACTTGTAGCACATTACTACGATTACAATCTTATATGGTTTAACAGCTCTATCAAGCAGGGCATTTGGTTTTGAATGCTAAGCTTTCAGATTGTCGATTTTTTACTGTGGTTTTTTAAATTGGAATTTAATTTCAAAATTTGTTAGCATTGTTTAGCAATTGTTATTGGTTATATTTATTATACGACCTATTAGATTAAATTGAAATTAATAAAAGCTTTGCACTGTGTTGTCAATTTGTCTATGTTTGGCTTGAGATTATTTCTAAGCTTATTTTGCAATGTTTCATACATATGTTTTTTAATATTTCTGTATTTCATTTAGCAATATTGTAAGATTGCATTTTGTATTATTGTTACTCACTAGCTAGTGTATTAAAATTTAAAAAACAATATTTAACAGGGCTTGAGGGTTTGCCCTTATATAAACTGTTTAAGTGTAGTTTTGACTTTCACCACATTACCACGCAACCTAATTTTATAATTCAATATGGTTTAGCAACTGCATGATTTAGTAAATTAGGTTCCCTATGCATGGCTTTGGATTTTTTTGATGTTTGGTTTGAAAAGAAGAGTCCTACCTATTTCAAAAGTTTCGCAGACGATTTATTCGAGCTTAATTTGCAATTTTTGTCGGTTGTTTGGCCCGGTTTAATAATTATATAAATTGCTTCTGGTCCTAAGATTTAAATCATTCAATTATTTAACAATTATTTTTTTGCAATGTGTGTTACGTATATTTTCCTTGTTTGCTTTAAAATTGTCCAAATTTGCATTTTGTATAATTAATAATTTTTTATTGACCTCCTTAAGTAAATTATATGTGCACTGTTGTTAAAACTCGCCCAAGCCCGCAAGGGAAAAACTATTTATCGCTCGTCAAAAAACCACTAAATCGACAGCAGTTGATTATCTTAATTCATTCGAAGCGCGTTTCTGCAGTTACGCGTTGTAAAGGTATTTCCAAACCTTTGCGCATTCACCACCCATCGCTAGAGCATGTTTTAGTTGCTTTGAAGCTCTAATCCAACTTTTCCGCAATTTACGTCAATTAGAAGAGCTCTCTGACTCTTTTGCTTTGCGTTTGACTATAACCGATCTGGCGAAGACCCCGAAGCAGCTGTTTAAACTATTATATTCGTATTCTGTTTGGAGGTGCTTAAACTAACTGTGAACTCTAAAAACATTGTCTATACTTTGTTAAGTATTTAGTACCTGTTTATTGATCTGCCGTCAATAATCTATCATTGAACAATTGTGTTTTGTGTTACTAAAGTTTTCGTTGCTTATTGCATTAATATTATATTGCAGAGACCTTACACTCCGCCGCTCAAGAAGGTTCGGAAGCCGATTCGTCAGAGCAAAACCTTCTTGTATACTACTAAAACATCTAAATCGGGATCAGTAACTACGTCTGGAAGTACACGACATTTAACTACCTCGAGCGACAAGTCAGATAGTAAAGTGTCATCTAAAATGTCCTCAAGCCATCATAATCCGAGTAGCTCGTCGTCCAGGCACCATAGTTCGAAGTCGTCACCTAGTCATAACTCAGATGATGTATTCCGTTCTGGAAAACTAGCTGTTACAGTAGTTGCGACCTCGGTGAAGTCAACGCCAATGGACACACTGCCTCCAAGTTCCTCTTCACATCATTATCATCATCACCGTTCATCAAGCAGCTCTAGCAGGCACCGGAAATCTTCTTCCGATTCTTCGAAACGAAGCAGTAGCAGCAGTAGCAGTAGCAACAGCGCTGGTTCTACATCCAGCAGCAGCAGTAGTTCATCTAGCAGTTCCAAAAGTTTGCCAAAGGATTACGACGCTGAGCTGCACTGTGGATCTTCTGAGCACAGTAGAAGCACGGGTGTGAGATCAGTGACTTCTTCTAACCACAGGGTTCGTATTTTTACTCGTAGCGCCTCATTTTATGTTATTAATTCATATGTTTACAGCTTCAACTTCGCAAACAGGTGTCTGGACGCAGTAAAGACATTCATCAAATGAGTCCTGAAAAGAAGGCCGCGAAAGAGAACGATATGAAGCACACAACACCTACTTGTTCCTATTCGTCCCCAAACGGGGAAGCAAAAGATATACTAGCTGCAAATATCACTTACGTTCCCATTGCGGGCCAACTTGTAAGCACTAATGCTTCAGACACTAATTCCTTTGTACATCTGGTGCCCAAGTTTTCAAATCATCAGTCGAGACATTCAACTACCTCTGTACTATCAAAGGTAAGTTCAATTTTGATTTCTTATTTATTTATTCAAATGTTTGATCTGTGAAAGTAAATTTTATTTATTTTCAAGTAATTTCTACATTGGTGCTCAAGCACAGAACAGTTAGTTAATTTGCTAAAACTTTTCTTTTTGGTTTTTTATGAATAGTTTCCATATTGACTAACCCGAGTGGGAGGTATTTATATGTACAGGGTGGCTCACATTATTCGAGACTTTCGACAACTGAGTTTTTTGGGCTTTTAGGGCGCAGTGGAAAATATTTCATTCCTGACGTTTCGCTAGCACCACTGGCTAAAGTTGATAAAAGAGGTGGTTGATGCCTTGAGCAAACTGCCCCTGAAGATGCACGCCACTCGTACTTACAACGTCAGAAATAAATGTATTTTCACGACAACCTGTAAGGCCGAAAACCTCACGAGTTTCCAACGCAAATGCAAAAGAGTTTGCGCGATAATTGCGCGAAACTGGTGAGTTTGCGGGCTTTTGGGCGGTCGGGAGAAACATTTTGGTGTCCTCGTACGCAGGCACGAGTGGCTTGCGAAACGTCACGGAGAAATACAAATTATTTTTATCAACCGTCTAACAGTCTGAAAAGTCACCAGTTCGATTAAAGTATAGAAAAAAGACTCTTTTAAATTGTGGAAAAATTTAATTTTTAATCGGGAGATTTTTACTCTATGGTATCTATTAGCCCAAATAAAAATTGAATTTTTGTCGAATTCAAATTCCAATTTTTAATAATTAAAAATTAAAATCGCAATATGGACTTCAACTACTGCCATCGTGAGTCTCCCCAACTAAAACATTTTTTGCCGCCAAAGATCAAACGAGCCTCTTGGAGCACGGGCGTTTGTCAGCTTTGTTTCCTCCGCAAATGGAGAGAATTTATTAACTGTGGTGTGAAACCATTTTAAAAATTTCTTAGGATGATTTTATGTAAATTTATACTGGATGTTCGAAACTTTTCGTTTAAAATTAAATTGCTTTCGACTGAAATTTGTCATTTATTTTAAATAGTACGCCCAGTATATCTTCACATGATCGGACGAAAATATAATCTTGATCTAAAAGAATTTAATCAACCGTTTTTCAGATAATTGCAATTTGTTCCGAAAAGTCTTCAATAAAGCGGGCCCACCCTGGACTTCTTTTAATTAATGATTTTTTGATGACAAGTTCATCAATGCGAGCTAATTTGATTCACATTTTTGAAATGAAAATTTTTGGGGATTTTAAGCAAATCGTTAAATATCAGATACTTTTTCCTAAGTGAAAACCGCTAACTTTACATACATTTATTTGGACTTGATAATAGGTAAATAAGGCTTAAATAAGGCCTTCGATTCAGAAGAGAAAAATGGTAGAGAGAGAGCATACTGGTTGATAACGATATTGCAAGTTTACGTTTTTAAAGAGTTACAAGTATTTTTCCTGTGGGGCCTCAATTGATTTTGAAGTCATTCGGCAATAATTCTCCAGCAAATGTGGTTTTCAAAAATAGTCTGCCATTTTTTGGGCTGAAAGATGTTTTATCTGATTTGTATAGAAGTTAAGCTCTGGAAAAGAAGAAAAAGAATCTGCTAAAGGTGTGACTAATGGATACATAGCTCATACAAAAAACTTAGAAAATACTCAAGATAATCCAGTTGGAACTGACCCCGTGCTTATTATGCCAGCAAGTCCTGTGTCTGTTGTTAGTTCAGTGCAGGTAAGATTTCAACTATTGTATGTAAAAATCACCGAATTAGCTCTATTTCAACCACAAGGCTCGATTGTGCTTGGGACGTAATGGGAAAAACTTTTTTCGTTTACAGAAACGTTGCGAAAATCACCAATTTCTGATATTCAAGAGCTTGGTCTTCTTAAATTATTTTTAGACGTGATTTTTGTTTTGGTATATGGTAGATGGTAATAATGTTTGCAGCTTTTGGAAATCGGTAATAATATAATGTCGTTGGAGTCACCACAGTCTGCGTCAAATCCACCAATTAGGAAGCGGATGGTCTTGCCAGTTTCTAGCACACACACCAGAGCTATTCGAATGTATAAGTCGCACCCTAAGCCAACAGTTTTTCCAAATTTTGGAGCACGAAGACTAGGAGGTGCTATCTTGTTATCCAATCCTCTAATTGAAGATCAGCGAAACGATTTATTATCGGTAATAAATGGTAATAGCAAAGGAATAGTTCCAGATGTAAATGGCTTTATTTTACATGCTGATGTCAGTCAGGCTGTTGAAGCCCAAAAGTTCTCTGTGGAAAATAGCTCTTCGCAGCATAAATTTATCATTAGTTTAATAAAAAAACATAACTTTTAATTTGGCTATTTTGGTGGGAACTACAGTTTGTAAACAATCTCGTTGTTATGGGCTGCCAAGTAACATACCAAGACTGTATCTGAATTAATGGTAGCTACCAACAATACTGGGCTTGAAGTTTACTATTAAATATAGTGTTCTGAATGTATTCTGACTGTCTCAAACAAAATGTGCACGTAATTATATAAATGTTGACTTAAGTAAAACAGGCATTGATTTGCTATGGATAGAACTATAATTGTTTGAATTGATGAAAAATACTTTGCCGAGATGATCCAATAATTATATGTAATCTCTCATGCTGGGATGCTAAATTTTTGCAGCAATTGTGCAAACGTGATATTTTTAGTTTCCAACAAATAGTTTAATTCTGTAGTTACCCATTAGAAGTTTTTACATGATATATTTCTACAGTTCGTTATATGTTTTCTTTCGTACGACTGCGTTTTGATGAGTACTGATTTTTTTATTTACACTTAGGCCTATTACTTATATTTATTATATTTACCGATTCCACTTTCTACCCGAAATCATTTTCCCGGTCCCGGATCCGAATGATTTTTTTCCTGATTTCAAAAATACATATTTGGCCTATATTTGTAATAGCTGTTTTTCCTATATTACGTTTTAAAAATTATAAACAGCACCAAATCAATGTAGCCTTGAAGTGCAAGGCGCTCCCACCCCATATCGTTCGCCTGATAGCACTTTTTTTAAATGAAAATGTTTATATCTGCATTGGACGAGCGGGTCCTATCCAATTGCCTCCAAATAGCCCCGACTTAACGTCTTTAACCAATATATAATCAATATATTCAAAACGTTATAGATGAACAGTAAAAGACGCCTATTTAGGTTTGTGGGTTTTTTGGTCAATAGATGGTGGCAAAAATAAAACACTATTTTTTCATGTGCCGACGTTTCGACTATATTTACGTCATCCTCAGGGCTCTATGAAGTTAGTGCCATATTTCCATCAAATGTACAAGGGTAGCATACCGTTCGAGGTAGGTGTATTTTTAGACTGCTAAGTCCGTATATAGTCGAAACGTCGAAAAACCCACAAACCTAAATAGGCGTTTTTTAGTGATTATCATCACGGTCACTAATTAACCACAACATCGTTACAGATCAAATTGAAGAAACTGAGGTCATATACAAAATCAGTGATTTTAATAATTTTGTTTTAATTAATTTATTTGTTTGAAATTGATGGCTACTTAAAAAACAAAAAAACTTCAAAACAAATAAATGTTTTATTTTTATAGTTTTTTGTTTGATTTCAGACTACTTTAATTTGTTGCTATTTAAATTTTTTAAAACATAATATAGAAAAAATGGCTAATACAAATCTAGGCTATATACAGGGTGGTTTTTTAGTGCGAGAGTCCATTATTTCCGTTGGTGTTGAACTTTCGCAAAATAGTTTCATATAAAAGTTGTTGACGCACAATGTGCGCACATTTAAACAATATTTTATATGATACAGACACTGAATTCCATAGCCACCTTACAAAATGTAACAACTTTTTGAAATTTTTAAATAAATCAATTTATAATTTGAAAACGGTTGATTTCACAGCTTAAAGTGTAAATGCAAATTTGTAACTTTGTAAATTGTATATCTAAGACGTTTTATTATACTAGTACTTCGATTTGAAAAACAAAAGTTATATTGCATTAAAAAGTTTTAGATTGTTTAGAAGTCCACATTGTTAACGCCCTGTACAATATTGTACATTGTGTTGATATTTTGGTTCAATAGAATTCTTAACGGATCTGTGGTGATTGGAAAGACGTATTTTTCTGTATCTTTAACTGCTTTTTTTGCTTCTACAATGAATTTTTAGATACCATGTTTTTAAGCAAAATTTTACTAAAATGTCGATAATCTGCCAACGTGGCAAGTCAGAAGAGACAATTTACGGTGCCTATGCAGCGTTTCAAGCTGCATTCCATGGGCTAATGAAAAATGGGTTGCATTTAAAAATATGCACTTTGATCTTGCTTCGCTTTTCTGAGACACTCTGTATCATATAAATATTTTTTAAATGTGCGCACTTTCGTGCGTCATCAACTATTATATGGACTCTATTACATTATATTTACACATTATATAAATAATGGACTCGCTCTAAAAAACCACCCTCTATATATTTCCGAAATCGGGAGAAAAGTCCAATCAAGCTGCCTAAAAATATATAGGGTGTTTCATAAAAAAATTTGACCGTGTTTTATACTTTTATTTTAAATTCAGTTTAAAAAAAATAGTAAAATTAGGCAACTTTTGTGTCGGTCCCTTTCACAATTTTTGTCAAGGTCACTTACACGATCTAGGGGGAAAAACACCCTGTAGAATTCTGAATTTCGTAAATCATCTGGATGTGTTGTGTGTGAATGTTTTCTGAAAATTCATTTTTGCTAGTGTGTTTTTAAAAATACAATCGGAGGTCAAGAGTTTGAGTTTTCTTACAATCTTTCTCTATTTTTATTATAAATATTGTGTGTTCCATAAGTCTGCCGGGGTTATTTCGAATGAGAAATCCGAATATGACTGAAAATTTGATGTAGTTTGACGAAGGCACCGCTGGCGGTAGTTTTCCTAATTTTAGAACACCATTCTTTGTGCCAGTGGTGAATTAAAATGTAAAAATCTGGAAAACGCATTGTCGAAGCTGTTGTATAACTTTTTTACATGGTTAACAGTTTTGAGAATCATGTCGCTTTTAAAAATCGCCATATAGTGTGGAACAAAAAATGATTTGCTCTTAAAATTAAGAAAATTATTAAAAATAACTTCTCATGAAAAATATGATTGTCTAAAGAAATATCCATTTCGGATATTATTAACGTTTGGATATAGGTGAATTATGGGAATCCTTTGAAAAGCGTAATATGAAGTTGAATGCAGTTGTGAGATTTTGGGGCTAACCAAATTCAAAGTTTTGTGTGTGAAATTGACGAACGTCTGTTATTATGCGAATGTTTTTATGTAATTTCAGTTCAGTTTTGGTTCTGGACATTTCTCGAAATTTGTCGATTGGGAATGTAGATTGAAAAGCAAATACGCTTTTTTCTTGAAAGTCACATATATTTATTTGTTACTTATGTAACTTATTTAATTATTCAGAAAGATATGCACTAACTTCCTTGAGAGTCATAGCGTTTGCGACTTATAGGTTTAGTTTATGCGCAATCGATCACAACCTTTCAGTTTGAAGAAATTTGCATTACATACTTTCTGTTTGAGAAATTTTTCTGACCTACTAGAAAGCATGACAGTCTCCATTAAATTTAGCTAAATAATTATTGATTGAATACAGAGTGTGGCGTGTGCATTAGAAAATAGTGTATGCTCATGTTTAAATTTATCTTATTAAATACAGCATTTTTAGCGTATGCAATGGGTAAAATTGTAAACCAAATAAGACGAGTTTTAATACAATTATAAGGCTTTATTGTTTCCATTTTGTACATTCGTTTTATTTTTATATATTATTAATTGTACTACGTGTAATCATTTACTAATTATAGCCGACTTATTTTTTTACTCTATTTTACACATGGAAATTTATTATCGATACTTTATTTTTAAGGATATAGTTTAAAATATTCAGTCTCAACACTTTTGTACGTATGAGAATTCGAAATGGATCAAACTAAAACCATACTTACACTTGGAAGTTTAGTTTGAGTTTTTCCATATCTGCTGTCTAAGTATTGTTGGTCGCGAGGGTTGTGACAAACTACTAGTTGAGAAAATTGTTTTAGACTATTGGAATATACCTCTCTGTGTTATATGTTTAATAATTATAGGTATTTATTTTTTCTTATTCGAACAATGTAAGTTTTTTATTTAACTCACTTTCGAAAATATAAGTGATACTTGTTAAATAAGCTTTAAAATAAATATCGAACTTAAGGAAAAAAATGTGTTTTTGTCTGTGTTCTACCTACTGGACGTTTTCATTGAGTGGTGACATTAAATAGTTCGTAACTATTTAGTTTTTTGAAAAATCTCTAAATCTACATTATTGTTATGTGGCCAAAGAATTGCATAGAATGGAAAGGTAAGTATCGTATTTCGGAGGTTTGTGTTGAATTTTTAAATTTTGTTTCATGCATTTTTCTACTTTGACACTTAAATAACAAATACTTCTTTGCGCCTAATATTAGTATGATTTGAATCAACGAGCTAATGGTGATTTACTGTTTTAAAAACATTTATTTTGTTAATATTGATTTGGCTTGACATTGATAATTATATTCAACTAAAACTAGTGGGGTTTTCGGGTTTTCAGGCCGTCGTAAAATGGAACAACTTCCTGACGTTTCGCAAGCACGATTGGCTTGCATCTTCAGAGGTTGTTTGCCTGAACGCTTACACTGTTTGCAAGATTTATCAGACAGAAATTCGATTTTACGACCCGACCTAAAACGGCGAAAAACCCACTGGATGAAAAACTCACCCGGACCGGTTCTGGCGTCGTAAACACGTTCCGGTTTCCTCGATATTAGGGTTGAAGTTTTTTTTATTTTACTTGATTTTTTATATACACGGAAGAAAATCACGTATATTATCAAATTTCAATTTCAAGAATTTGTCATTAAAATGTTGAGGTGGGTACAGGAGGGTTGGTTTAGTAAGTATACATTTGATTTTCCCTACTTTTACAATGGGCTCCGAGGTTTTTTTCAGATGCATGTTTTCACATGGTCTAGCAGAAATGCCTTGTCTATTTGCCATGATAAATATTTTCAATAATTATAAAATTTTTATTATTAGGCTGTGGGGAAATAAAACAATCTTTTTAATAACAGTTAGCTTTTTGGTTTTTATTGTTAATGTATTATACATTACATTAACAGTAACAGTATTTTCTCATTAAGTTATAGTAGTCAAACAGTGGTGTTCCAAGCGATTATGTGCTGAAACACGACAGGCAGTGCTATACGGTACTAATTCCTATACGTTAGTTTAGTATTAATACGGGGTTTCCCTTTTTTCTTCAAGTGGATCATTTTTTTTTAATCATATGAAATGTTAATTGAGGTCTTTCAAGCAAAAAACTGAGAAGAAAAAATTTTGCATGCCAACACTAATTTATATTCAAAATCACTTGTCTTGTCATCACAAGCTTTGTTTTTTCAAAGAAAATGTGCAATAAATCCTCATAACCAACAGTCACCTAATTAATTTTTCCAAAGACCGTGAACACGCTGGAAGACCATAAGCATTAATAAATGAGCAAAAAAGGTGCTAGTTAATGTGCAAATGTATCTATAATTGAAATTTTCGCCTATAAAATCTGAAGCATTTTCTCGATAAGCATAAACAAACTTATATAATTCGATCCCTTTGGAGCTGGGCTTAAGACGGAAGTGTACATATTTACGTATGTATGCATAGTTCGTAAGTTCTGTCAAATATTGAGCAAATTTGTTTCAGAAAACTTCATTTAAATGCAACTTTCAAGTAAATTGGTCATTTTTTGATTGGTTTGTGATTTTTAAAAGAAAAGTATGGCTAATCGATTTAATAATTTATTGACTATTATCCTAGGATGTTAGGCAATTTACTTGATAGTTCAATGTACCTAAGGCCTTATGAAACGACAAATACTTGCTAACTGTAAAAATTAGTATTACAAAATAAACTTTATGACTCCGAAGAATGATACAGAATTTTCCCTTAATTTTTATTTAAAGCTTTTGCAATTTTTCTGGCACTTATTTCGGGAAATAGGGACCAGTATTGAGAAAGGAATGACTATGTACAGATGATGAGAAAACGAATATTTTTTGGCATTTTTGGCCAATACAATATGCGAATTCCATCAAAGCATTCCTCTTATTCATAACAATTTACAATTTATTGTAGATGTTGACTAAAATTAGGCTTTGAAGCAAATTATACACATTATTGTAATAAACACTAATTGGCATTACATGTTCTATTTTAACAATTTCAATTAAATGAAACCAAGAATTAATTAATGTGGTGTTACAAAAAAACAACTAAATTATTTTAATCTCTATCAAGTAAATATTGCAGGTGTTAATCGTAAAGGGCTTTAGGTATTGCAAATTATGTTAAAACGATTTATTATTGCTTCCTAAATATTTAAGCTTAATTAAATACGAATATGGGTTTACAATCACTGAACTGCAGTTATACTAAAACATAGTCAATAAAGACAATTAGCTTTTTAACGTTAACATAAAGTACTTTAAATATGTATATTTGAAACATTCTAACTTATGGCCTAAAATTTAACATGCACTTCCTTAGGCAAATAGTTAGATTCCGTAACATCTTGTACAAAGCACTTCATTTATTTGATAAAAATTAATCGCCTAATTACAATATGAGGTGTGACTTATAATTATTAATGTATAATGGATAATTTCAATGAATGCAACCTGAATGAGCGAGTGTGAGTGAATTGAGTCAATTTCAAGTGATCTAATCACATTATTGATGATTATTGTTTTACTATTCGGGAGCCTATAAAATAAGAAAATGATAATCAATTGATAAAGTAGTCAACGGAAATACATTGGCACATAATGAGTGTAATAAAACACTAGCAAAAGTGTCCGCTAAAAAGTTGTAAAAATGAAGGATTTGGAAGCCCGCGTTTTGGCAGTTTCCGCACTCAATAAAATATGTTGCATGAAATTATGAAAAGTTTTCTAATACAGTCTGAAATTTTTAGATGAATCTAATGCAATTTTGATTTACTTATGGTGTTTATGTCGTACGAATAGTGTAAAATTCGATATAAGTTAGTACCGTTGGTAACAAATACATTTTCTACACTATACAGATGTCTAATTAGATTAGATATTTAAAAAAATTAACATTATATTTATATGACTCTTATTTTAGTGATTAGTCACAATTGAAAACATTTTAGGAACTTTTAAAAGGGAAGATTACGTTTTACGAGATTTATACTTGGCACAATAATGGTAGGTCGGTTTGTGGATTTGGCCATCAAATAATCTATAATCTAGGTGCATTGTTAGGAAAGTTTTTAATTATAATTGTTTATCTTTAAATAAACATTGACAAAAATGTCACAACCTTGATGATATAATTGTCTTGCTTATGGCATGCAAAGAAATATTGTCAAAATTCGATTGTGGTTGGAGAAATTTTTGAGAACATTGAACTTTTTTGCAGACACTTTAAAACGTAAATTTATTGACAACATGTAATGCGTACATTATTTCATGACATACATATAAATATAATATTACAGTATAACACTGCCTATTTATTGATTCTACTCTAATCTATAATAAACGACAGTGTTAATATTCGTCGGTTTCTTGCAAGATCTTGACAACTCTAATTACTTACTAATCCTTTTGCCAAGACTGTCGACACACCATATATTTGCCAAAATAAAATATTATATTAAATACATCAATAGATTACGTTATGAAAGACAGTTCTCCTAAAAATGTAAACTCTAAATTGTTTTCATATATCTGAAAACTTTGTCGATCGCAAATTCGTTTATTTCAATATTGCACTCGTTCATTTGACAAAATTGATACACAGTTCCTCAACGACTAGACCGAGTTTTAAACCTGAAAATATTGTCTGCACAATTTTCCAAACTATCTAGTAAATTTAAAGGAAATGAGCGAATAAAGTGGGACTATTTAATTTTTCCCGACCAATTAAATGCTAAATTTTGTAAAGCTTACGGTGGTGGTATATTAAGGCTGCACATAAATGCGGAAAATCATTCAGGATCAAGATTAATGCCTTTGAAAAACTGGGACAATTAATTGTGCTTTCTAGAGGTAAACGAAACCAAGGATGAGAAATTTTATATACATTATATCAGGTTTAAATACATTATTTTGCATGAGCACAATTTTAACTATAATCACAAGTGCACGGCAATAGTAAAGCTTTAAATCTAGTACTATGTCCTCCGTTTATTTGGCTGATATATCAGTAGACGCTAATGAGCATTATCAGCTTTACATGATAGGGCGTTTTAATTTTTTTAGTTGCCTTTACCCTGTATACCTTTCGCGTTGACTCACAGGAAATGATGATTAGGGAGTTGACAAAAATTTGCGAAAATTAATTTGAAATATTAAAAATGATATTTAAATTTTTTAAATAACGTGATATTAAAAAAAGCAAAACGACTCGTCAGACATATCAACTGATTTTTTTTATAGGATGATGCCAAGTTGCCAAACAAACTAAAAAGAAGTGAAAATTCTATGGAAAAATCAGTTGATATGTAATTGTAAAATTGCCTGTGTGTGTTTTTTTAAATTAAAATCATCTAAACTGATGTTTTTGTTTGTTTGACCAAGAAACTAGCATGATTAAATTGTAGCTAATTAATTTCAATAATTTTTTATTGTAAAATTAAAAGCAGCTATTCGTTTCGAAATTCGAAATGTGCTACTCATTTTTGCAACTAGTTCGAAAAAGTTTTCCACTGATTCCTCGTCATAAATGCTCGGTACAGGCACAGGTTCTAGGCTATAGGTGCCTTTACACTTACAATACGTTCGCGTGTCACTAGAATTGCAACGTTCTAATCACCAACTCTTGGAGGATTGACCACAGTTTTGGCTCAAAATGTACAAAATTAGGCAACAAAATTAAAGTGGCTCTGTGTTTAGCTGTGTGTATAAATTTGATGGATGAATAAAAAAAAGAAAAGGGATTCTGGGTGGAAAAATTGAGGAAATTTCGTAATAAATATGGGCATATGATATTAATAAATGAATTACGACAATACTATCCTGACGACTTAAAAAATTATCTTCGCATGGACTGTGAAACTTTCAAAATTTTGTTGGATTTAGTCTCACCAAATTATTTCTAAGCAAAATACCAGAGATTTGAGGCCACTCTGATATCACACCGGAAAATCCCGCACAAAAAGGAACGATGTACAAAAATGTGTGCAAAAGTTTGCAGTTTGTTGCCGCTACGCAAAGCCTGCAGGTTTCCACGTGCAACTTTCGCATACGCCAGTATTTTTCTTTAGACTAGCGTCTTTCGTGCGCAACTAGACGGGGCGCTCCAATCGCACACGATAAGAGCGTAAGTGTAAAGGCACCTTATGTCATGTTCCTTTGATGTTTCGTCAAAATACTGACAGGCGATTTATTTATGTCAGCGTTTTGACGAAACAACAAGTACATTTGCCTCGGCTCGGGCTCGGCTCGTCAGGTCTGGACGCACCTTTAGAAGCGAGCACTTCCAGGACCGGTTTTGGACCTATTAGGTCTCACTAGCTGAACTTACCGACATAAATTCAATATATAAGTAAGTACGTGATTTGGCAAGAACCTTTGTTTGTACCAAAATTGCGAAGAATGATTTATGAGCATTGTCTAACTGAAAAAAGCACACGAAGCAAAATAATAAACAGAAAAAAACCCATATACAAAATTTTTTTGTAATCTACTTGATGTTTAGAGCTTACTTTTTACATGGAAGATAGACCTAAAAATTCTATTTTGACAAATCTCGGTGTCTGAAGTACACGTTTACCGGAATTATTGAGCTGAATACTGATTTATATATAAAAAAAATGTTTCTATAATATTTTGCACCATTGGTAACAACTTTGTTTTAATAGTCTGATAAAGTTATATAAATGTTTTGGTAGAACTAATTGCAAAAGGGTTTCGAACCGGGCATAGAACTGTAAATATGTACAAACTTAGTTAAAATTAGTTGCTTGAATCATATTCTATCGGTGAGAAGTTCTTGAAGCGCTTGGCTTGCATGTCAAGGGTTTCAATTAATTGTCGATGCAAATCCAGTATTCGTATCGAAATAGAATTTAATTAAATCAGGCTTTTCGAGTTGAAATTAAGTGTCAAGTTTTGCCTCAAATATTCAGTTTTATTGCCGATAATTTGACTCAAGCGACAAATTAAACGGTGATAGGAAGTGAAATAAGGAACAACTTGTGAGGCTTTGGTATAAAATTTTACATGGGACACCCTGCATAATTCATACCCTAATTTTGCTACGAGTTTCTGAGACTGAGAATGTGCTTTAGCGGACAGATCGTTAGCACAATATTCGTGTGGATTAAAGTTTGATACTGCTCTTATTCTGAGACATAATATAAAAGTATAAAATGGCTTTTGCAATTCGTCCTATTTTATTAGAAAGTTTATTAGACTACAAAAATGAATGATCGCGACAAAAGACGATATCGTTTAATCATTTGCACACACGGAGTTTCATTTATCGATTGTCGACTTAATAAACAAAATATTGTTTTCGAATTCACACGCGCCGCGTTCGATACGAGTAATTTTTATTTCAAAACAAAATTATTCAGTATTAATTTGTTATAAATCTATTATCATTGGATTTATTTGCCGCCAGTCGCAGTACACTATTTACCGAACTATAGGCCTTTGTTGTGAGTTTCGCTTATGGAAGCCACATGATTTGGAGCCTTGATCAGAGCAAGTATCTGAGTTATCCATATCTTCTATTTTCCACGGTATATTTCTATTATTTTGTCTTGATCCACATACTCGAAGATGTGGGGTGCGTCCATCAAAATACCCACCGTTCCTGCTGTAGTCACAATAAAAAACATGTATAGTTGCAATCTATCTATTACCATTGCCACATATTTCCAGTCTTCGCGTGTCTAAAATACATCAAACTTGTTAGTGATTTCTCAGATTTTCCGACTATTTACTGAAGAAAATGCATATATTATCAGCAGACTAGCTAGTAGTAAGACCAAACGTCTCATAAAATCCTAAATGTTCTACATTAAAAATTATCTTGCTTCGAATTATTCGAGTGCTTTCAAGCCATCACAAACGCATTGTTTTAGGTATTGGAAATCAAAATCTCTTAAGCAGATTTGTCTGCAATGAATTATGATTTTCGAATTTATGGGGGCCTGTATTCGATCAAACCGCTTAAAATTTTACATTAAAATTGCGATTTTCTTTGCAGGAATCAATACTCTGGATGGTGCGAGATTGTTGGCTGCCTGCCTCGCAAGGACAGAGTGATTTTCCAGATTTTGTATGTAAGTTTTTTTTTGACGTTCTTAAATGTTAGAAAAACAAATTGCGGAATTAAATAACAATTCAGCCACAGTCATGATAGAGAGAGGTTTTTTGCAAACGTTTTATAACAAAATGATGATTTAGTTGCTGCTGTATAAAAAGTAAATAATTAAAACATCAAATTCCTCATAACTTGGAGGATATCTAGGCATTATGATTTTTGTAAATAATAAAGGCAATCTGCTTTAGTTAACTAATGCGAACGAAATCTAGAAAAATTACAGTCACCGAAATTTCATGATTTATTCTAAGCTGGTGCATAACATTATTCTAGAATTTGCTTGGACTATAATTTGGACGCAACAAAGGATGAAATACAAATGCACGTTCTCTAACTGAAGCTTTTAAACTTTTAATTCAGCGGCCGCCAAAATAATCGAAATTATGAAAAATGTTAACGAGAGTCACTAATTAAGTAGGGACTTTTACGGGAATTTTCACAATGTATTAACTTGTGAAAATTCAACTTGAAAATATGAAATCCCCCATGCTTTTTGAATTAAACAGAACATCGATTTAGTTATCACAGCTGACTAGTTATCACAGCCATAGACAAAGTGCATTTAGGGTCAATTTACCAAATACCCAGCCTACAAACTATTCTACATTCAAATTGCTACAATTTCTGATACCTGTATATACAAATCTTCGTTGCGCAAATGTTCTGCAATGAATTCTACTGCTTCTGTCGCTTTAGAGACTTCGGGTGAGAGTAGAATAGAATCCGAACTTTCACTTTCTCTTCTACAGCTTTCAGCAGCCACACCCACGCTTATTTCCGCATTTGCTTTCCTGTTCACCTTGCAGTTCGGATGATGGTGCAAATCGGACAGCTCCATCACTTCTACTTTGCTTTGTGATTCCACTGAGCTGAAACAAAAATATCTCTAATTTGATTTTGAAAGCGCAATTTCCACTGATCCTAATCATTGAAAGTTAATAACGACAATGTTTCGATCTAAACGAACTTTAATAAAGTTTCGGTTTTCAATGTGACGTGACCTCATTTTTACGAGGGATTACCTTTGGGATTCTTCGGTAATATCACTTAGGAAACGACAATTCTGAAACTAAATTGCTTTCAAAGAAAATAAACCTGAGTGACAGTAAATTAATTTAAGACGCTATTTGCATACAAATTACCTCCCGATTATCTGGTATAAGTAGAATGGGGTGGATTTCTTACTTCGCTTCCGTTCTTCTTAGTAGTGAATTCTAATTTGAAAGCATCATGATCCCATGGGGGGAACGAAAGTAAGGTCACTTACAAGCATTCATGCGTCTCCGAGCTCAATCGAAATGTTTTGCGTTCTATTTTATATATGAAATTCCAAATACCAGTGCAAAATACAGCGTGGTCCTCAACTAATGTGACAAAATTTACTGACTGGAAAAATATTGCGCTTTAGGCAAATTTGTCTTATCCGAAAGTTAATAGTTTCCGAGATACAGGGTATCAAAGTGTGAATAAACTTTTCGGTTTTTCTAAATAGATTCTTAACCATATTTCCTATTATAAAATGAATGTGTGGGTTTTTATATCTAGGAAACCACATTTCCATTCTTAAACAGTCTGGAGCCATTTAAAACACCAGACATTTCTTGAGCTTTAAAATATCGCATTTTAGTTGGCTGTCCCTAATTCTCCGATATTTCCTGAAAAAAAAAATGCGCACTTGGATCTCTTAATAAAAGAAATATTCTACTCAAATGTTCAATAAAACAAAAATTAAATGGTATTTATTTAGGCACTTTTATGAACTAGTATTTATTTAGAACTTGAAAGTGATTCGTTCTTGATAATTGGTGAACTTATAATAAAACATTGAAACTGCTTTATTCGAGTCCATCAAGTTTTTTGTAACCCTTGAAATTTTTGTGTAAAATGTTTAAAAGTACTTAATTTTTCCATATCGTGCTTTATTTCCTAGAAAAAACATCAAAAGTCAAATAATGGTTGTTTGAGTTTAAAAATAAAAATATTGTGACTGCAAGAAACAAAACATATAAAAATTTACGCTTTTCGGTTGACAACCAAACCGAATATTACAGACTGCTAAACGAAACTAGCGGAAAATAATGTTGAAAAATTATTTCCATTTTCATACATTTCCATTCCATACACAATAAATGTACGTGAAGAAGCAAAGAAACCTCTGAATATTTTAGCCCAAGGTTTTTATATCCTATATTTTGCTAAATGTCATATTATTTTTCATCCAACTCAACAGTCTTTTTCCTGTATTTCATCTAGGAATAACTCGGCGACTTGAGCAAGAAAGCAATATTAAAAACTGTTATAATTGTTTTACCAAAGTAGGTATTTCGTTTTTATCACAAAGCATTTGCAGAGCTTTCGAGCAGAATTAAGCTGGTCAAAATTGGTCTGTTTTCTATGTCTTTTAATTATTTTAGGAGCCGGAATTCGGGGCAGTTCAAAATTAATTACGGAAGTTCGTTACTCTTTATAAAATACATTTTCTTAACATTCTTTCATGAAAAATGATCTCCTTTTGAAACACGCTGCGAAAACGGTTCATGTTTTATTTGTAGTATTTAAATTTTAAAAGGAAATATCCGATTTCAGGACGGAACGATCCGGTTTGTACAAAGCTTTCGCCAATTTGAATCTTTAATATCCTTCATATTCGCAGGTTCCTTGTTATTCAAGCCCTTTAAATGTATGTGCATATGTGATTACTTGATTTAAAAATGTGTATTAAGTTCCAACGTGGTGCTGACTGGAAATGAAAGTTGCGGAAATTTGAAGCTCTAATTTATTAGCAAAATACGACTATAATCCTCAAGCTTGCCAAATTCCATCCTAAAACAAATGGCAAGTTTGCGGCATGAAATTTTACTCTGATAAATCTTCTATGGAAAACGGGTGCAGAGGAGAAATCGATCTGTGGGGAAATTTTTTAATAAGGCACTTAACCGATGAGCTAAACTTTCACCAAATCGCTTTTTCTACCGCATCTTCCTTTGCCGCAATATTTTGTTACATCCGCTTTTGTGTTCTATATTACTAATTGGTGTTTTCTACTAAATAACTTTTTACTTTCCCTACATCTAAATGGGTTAGTTGCACTTTTTCATTCTGCTTTAATTTTAGTTTATTGCGGTGTTAGAAAAAGTTCTTTAATTACTTGGATATCGAGCAGTATAAATTGGCTTTGTTGGCATTGGCAATGCCTCATTAAACTTCATACCGTTGTTTTAATATTCAATTTCAAGCATATTGCGATTCTAATATTGACTTTAACAAAGGTTCCTGACAAAGTGTCTCATTGTTTTCAGCTTTCATTGTTTTGAAGTGGGAATGAGACGGTCCTCAAGGAAACCATCCGCTGAAATACAGAACAAGGTAAGGAGAAGTTCTCTTGTATCCTACTTTGGAAGAAGCTGTAGAGTATTGTCCGAAATTTGTTCATTAAATCAAGGTTTACAAATCCAGAGCGAACTTGGAATTTGTAATTCAGATTTAATTAATCACATTACCCGAAGTTCGTCCGTTTGCTGAATGGAGTAAATTGTATTGTACTTCGTAATAGTTTAGAAGACGATGTTTTAGTAGAAATATTTAATTTGTACTAGTTTTCAAACATCTGTTGACGCTCCATTTTTCTACAGGATTATTGACTTTTATGATACGTTTTTGTCTGTCTGCATCCTTGATTAATCGATGCAGTTTAGTGTGAAATAGTGGATAATTTTTGAAGACCAAATTCGTTAAAAGCCTCTATGGAGAAAAACTGCCGATGTTTCAAGACATAAAATTCAAGCCCAATTGGTTAACCCTAATTCGCGGTCGACATTTTCGCTTGTCGTAAAATACTTCGAAACGTTATCAAATTATTTTCCATTGATCCTTTATCAGCGAACTGCCATCGGGGGTTATCGAAAAAGTTCCATCATTCCAAATGGCAAGAGACAGGATTTGAGCGCAGGAGAAATAAAACATTAACAAGATTTGAAGGTAAAGTAGCTTAACGGAATGTACGTAAATTCAACGAATCGAAAGTCGGTCGACGAAATTTCGACAAGATTGAAATTGGGAAATTGAGTAAAATAATTTGGACCTTAGGCCGGGATTTCCTTAAATACATCTTTCACTTGGGATTAGTATTTTACCCAAAGCATCCCAAGCCCTTTTGTTTCAAAGTTCAACATTTGCTCTATAAGTAGGATTCTAATTATCTTCTGAAACTAATTCTGCGGATGAAGCTCAAAGGGTCGAACTAAAATCGAGATTCGTGTTTTCGTCAGATTCCATTAGAAATTTCCTTTCGCTTTGAGTTTTTTTTAAACCATACGCTAATAGAGTCTTTTAAGGTAAACTAAACATTCGCTGAATTGTCATCGTTTAGATGATTTAGTAGTAGTAGAGTCAAAGAACAAATTGGATTTATCGTTTTAACTGACATCGAGTGTAATCAGTTTATCCAGATCTCCTTTCGGAGAGACATCTCTAATCAGAGCTACCAATGGAGAGAATTAGATTAGCCATACACATTTTGTGATAGCTCCTAAATAATCAAATATTCAGTCCAGTTGTAACGGAATATAACTTAAAATCGTTACTTGCTGGCTTATTTACTGCTTTCTAATTCCGATTTTAAAGGTAAATTTTACACAAATACAGATTTTTAGATGAAAACTTTGGTAGTTGGTCGTTGGAATGCGTTCTGTTTTAATATTAATAATTGATTTAATATATGTATTTAATAATTGATTTATGCAGTGTTTAAAGCATCTGATTTATTTGGTCTCCGTCGGAATAAATCTGCAGTTCCCATTTTGTTTTTAAATAAACTGATGTATGTATATTTAAAACCGCACTGCGACATCAAACACTCACATTTTTGTTAGAATTAATGTAGGATTTTATTGATAAAATATAAAATATTTTTGGTACCTCATCCTGAGCTATTTTGCGCCCTTTTGAAAAATATTTACCTTCTGGTTTTGCTCTTAATGTAGTTTGCCACTCATTTAATCTTTTCTTCTTATTTGTGTCTAGATCATGATTCTCTTGCGGTTTTTTTTATATACAAGTCTACTGTTCATACAAATAATTTGTACTTTGCTTGAAATGGCCCCTTTGAGGGTTCACCTAATTGGTTGAGTTTTAAGACCAGGCCTGACCAGAATGAATTAGATGTTATTTTCCAGATCCTTTTTAAGGTTTGCGGCTTGATAAACCGGCTGGCCTCGCAAAAAATCGTTTGATGTCCCTTTGAAAATACCGACGCCGCCAATATCTGAGGCGGTTTCTTCTTTGGTTCTGGTCTTGAAGTCAACTGAAAACCCTATTTACTAATTGCGAATTCAAAAGTCCAAATGCACCCTCACGGCTAAGTATAAACTACTTTTAACGAGTAACATTTGTGTTAAAATTTGGTAACATTTGGTTTACTTCCTTTGGTTACAGTTGGTATTGTAATATGCTTTTAAGTGCGATATAAAATATCGGATGTCAGGAAGAATAACATATTCATATGACCTTAGCTGTTTCTGAACAATCGCAGCTTTGCAAGAAGCAGATCTATTTTTAAGTGGAATTCAATAGTTGATTATTTATGGGATATAACAGTCAGCGGCTGTTATATCCCATAAATCCCATGTTCTAGACAGACACATTTCCATAGCTGGGATTTTCGCTAGATGGTGTACGATTATAAATGGAAAATCTTATGCGTTAGTGGAAATCAAATGTCCATTTATTCCTCCAAAGCTAATTATTCACCGTTCCTTCTTTAAATTTCTTTATCTTCATTTAACTATTGTTATCTTCATTTAGCAAATTTTCAGCCCATATTTTATGGAAGACGCCAATTATTTGATTCATCTTCGGGACTACTTGATTTTCAAATTGATTGTCTTTTTCCTCCTGAATAATAATGAAATTTGTATGGTAGGTTTCTTTTTCCTTCAAAATCCCTGTTGTTTAATCCATATCTTAAAGTTTTTCTAGAGATATTCTTCAAATATTTATTATTATTATTAGGGGAAAAGTCTCCATATCTAAGCAGTGTAGACATTGAAAATGAAAATGCGCTATTGAAACTTTGTTAACATAAAATCATACGCGCTCATCGGAGTTAGCAGTTTAATTCAATTATTTCTATAGTTGAAGTTGATCAATAACAAAGAAAAGAACCATTTGAATAGAATTCTCTTTCAATGAGTTTAGCCATAAAATGTAACGTTTTAGCGCACAAGAGCGTACAACAATACAAATGAATCGAAAGAGAAGGAAAACTGCTCTAATATATCGACTCTAATCTATTTTCTGTAAAAATCGACATAAACGCCTGATTTGAATAAAAAATCCAGGATATTCGTCATTTATGAGGATAATGTTTGAGAAAACGAGCTTCACAAACATAACGCTTAACCCAATTCCAAGATTATCTGGGTCTCAGAACGGAATACATGGTGTTTGTCTTATACAATCAAAATACTTTACTTAGCTGCTTGACAATGAAACAAATTGAAAATTCGTTATGAGAAGTTGAAAATGAAAAAATATCGTGCTTTAATTGTACATGGAGCCAGAATTTTATAAAAAATGTTTTAAATTATTTGTTTCGTATAAGAAAATAATGTAATTTTTAATAATTGTATTTATTTTTTCTGAACTCATTGATGTAAACTTTTATGCTCCATTGCATCTTCATCATTCTATGAAAAAAAACAAGCCACAGAAATAAATTACTTCTAAATAAACTATTTAGCACAAAATGATATGGCTTTTTATATATTTCGCCTTTTTGTAGTTTGTTTCTCTAAACCTTTTAAGCTGCCACAGAAATACTTTATCAGTGCGAACCTTCACTGAACTGGGCTGAATTAATAGCAATTTAGGAAACTTTGAAGGGCTAACAAAATAAATTAAGCATCGTATTAAATACTATAGAAAGTATTTCAATTACAAAATCGACATTTATTGACTAAAAAAGAGCGTTAAAATTACTGTTTGCCAAAAAGTTTTAGTTCAACTAGTTGTTTTAGTTTTTCAAAGTCAATGCTCTTTATTTTCTTATTTAATAAATCAGATCTTTGAATAGCACAATTAATGTTCGTATATTGAAGCGAGCGAGGCTTCCATGACTCATATTCTTTGAAAGTGACGAATGTTTTTTAACTTTTTTGTCACGTAAAAACGTGCACCTCTGAAGATGCAAGTCACTCGTGCTTGCGAAATGTCAGGAAGAAATTTTATTTTCCGACGGCCTAAAAACCCGAAAAAACTTATCAGTTTCTGTTTATATTGCTTACCTGATGTGTTTAGGAATATCACTTGACACGCCATAAGGATGAGGTGGTACCCCCATCCCGGGCATTTCCATCATCCATCGTAATCTCGTTTTTCTCGGTCGCTTCATCAACATCATTGCCGGTAGATAGTTTAGGAACACAAACCGAATCCACGAAGGCATTCTGTCAAATGAAATAATATTTATTAATTTCTAATACGTTTTCAATTTCTCCGCAAAAAAATAAAAAGCTCGAGCTCGAGGTGCCGTGTTCCGGCGTTCGCAAATTCGCAAATGTTTGAGCAGATTTTTTTTCGCAAGAAAACGTTATCTGTGGGGTTTTCAGTCGTGCGATTTTAGGGATTGAGGGGAATAAATCGACAGCGTGATCTGATAAAGTGTTCTTTTTATGTAACTTCCTGAGCGTTTCGTGGCAACAGGAACGTCTTACTCTTGTAGATGTTTCCTAGTTTCTTCAACACGAGCGCAAAGTTTATATTGCAGCTCATGCATAAATAAAAAACACTGAAAAGTTTTGTTTGAGTTACAAATTACACACGGCATCAAAGGGATTTGACGAAAACAAAGAAATGCGAGGAAATTAAAATTGTTGATACTGAAGCGAGCACATCAATAAATCTATTTTTTTGTGTGATATGCAATTTATTTTTCGTATGCCATGAATAGTCTTTAATGCACATAAGCATATTTCAAGAAATGGATTCTATCAATAGGTAAATTTTGACTCATATATCCGACCTATCTGGCGCTTAATATTATTCGCTTTTTATGTCAAGGGGATTTACGGAAGCTTTTGCAGAAATACATCAAAGTATTATCATCAATATGTTTTATGAGAATATTGTCAATCTTGAGGTTATAATTGCCGCAAAATACTTTTTGTTATTAAATGAGTTGGAAACTGAGCTAGTTTAGATTGATTGTAGAAAAAGTAGCAACTAAAGGGAAGTTTCTGAATGCTTACCTATGTGTTCGAGGACCCCTGAAGTTCCAATTTATTATAACTACAGTAACAAGTATACTAACAGTATTCATGATGAACGTAAAAAGGAGGTATTTGGCAATGAGCGGCAATACCAACGATGTAGGTGGCAGGATTTTCGATACCAGTAACAGAAATACAACCAGTGATAGTAAAATACTAATTCCTAAGGTAACCTGAAAGACAAAACACTTAATTTAAGAACAGCTTAATTATGATTGGATTCAATTAAGAATGAATTGGTTCTGAAATTTTTATTAAGTAATTCTGTCATTCTTGCATTGAAAGAAATAAAATAGTCGGATAAACTGCTATGCAGTGAGCTCGACAACGACTCAACTAATAATTTACAAACTAGGTGGTTCATGCATGCATTTACTAACCTTTTCGCCTGCCTCTGCTGGCAAGTAAAACACTAGAACACATAAAAATGAAATGAGAACCGTGGGCAGAATTAAATTCACCGTGTAAAACAAAGTCTTTCTTCGTATGATGATATAAAATGTAATATCAGTTTCCGTCGGATGGTCTCCTTCATATATGTTGAGGTAGGCGGGCACTTCAATAATATCCCAGGTACCCGATTTCCAATAATCGGATAAATCCACGAACTCCTTATTGTTATAAAGCGCTAACGACACTTGGTCACCATTAAAAGTCCAGGAACCGAATTTCATTATACACTTTTGTTGATCGAACGGAAAATATGTTACATCTATTGTACATGAACTCTGAAACAAAATTTACTAATCAGTATCAGCATGTAAAACATAAATCTTGATTATACCATCGTTTTTCAAAATTTCGGAATAGTGCCAACAAAGAGCCAAGTGGTGAATGAAGAATAATGAAAGTTTCGGCATAATCAGAGCCGTCAAAGTTTATAATCTAATTAGGTACAGATTTCGAAGTGTGCGAGTTTCAAGCTTATTCGTATTATCAGCTGGTTTAGCCTGAAAAGCACGCTTCCGAAACTTGTACTTTATTTCACCAATCGGCGCAAACTGATGTAAATATACAGGGTGATTTACAACCCTATGGACACCGAGCACAGGCGTGTAGAGGACCTAAAAAAAAGTCGAGTTTTCATTTAAATTTTTTCTCTCAGTCCCATGGTTAAGGAGATACAGGGTGTTAAAGTTAAAAAAATATATTGGTATTTTTTCTTTACCTCCTGCAGTTTCGGAGATATTTTGCGCAAATTTTGAACGTAGGCTACTGTTTAGATGCTATAGCCGTAGGGAAGCCAACTGAGTAAAAATCTACAGGGTGTTTTTTTTCTAGAGGTATACCCCCTTTTACCCCCCAAACTTTTTTTGGTGCACCACTGGCTTCGACGAACACATTTTTTAATTTGTTGTTCAATTTAAGATTTTTTTATTTCCCGTAGTTTTTTTGGATCTGCCATCATTTTCGAGTTATTTGCACAAAGATATGTTCATGTATGGTTTCTGGGTGATTTTCAATGAATTTTCTTATCACTTTTTTTGTATACTTTTGTTCTCACTTTTTTTTAAAGCTTGATGTATAAGTTGAAGTTAAAATCGACGATGGCTGACAGTAGGATGGCTGCCGAGTTAACTTTAAAGTTCATTTTTTTTAAATTCTAAAGTTTATCGGCTGTAAGGTAATCCAAATAAAAATTCACAAAAATTTAACGAATATTTCAATTTATTATGAAATTAGTTCCACTAAATTCAATAAGTTTGGATTATTTAATGTCAAAGTCAAAATGTCATTTAATCATTAAAATTAAGGGTGCTGTTAAAAATATCCTCTGTTTTCTGTTAAGCATAAATGGTTCCTTCGCCGACAATTAAAGTCAACTTTATCCAATAATTGAATGTAATTTTTTATAATAGTAGATTATTATTGATTCGATTCCATACATCTTCTGTAGTTTGAACAGGCATTGACTATACAAATTCTTTGAAAGTCCGCCACAGAAAAATCACACTAATTTAAATCTGGCGATCGCGCTGACCAGCGTTGCCCTAGGTAGAGGGTCTAAACAGAAGCATATGCAAAAAAATTGAGCAAAAGATTGATAAACTGTAGAAGTTAAAGAGAAAATGCCAACATATTTTTAAAACTGGGCCTGAGAAAAAAAATTTAAATGACAACTCGACTTGTTCTGAAGTTCTCAGCACATCCCTATTCTGTGCCTATAAGGTTGTGAATTACCCTGCATGTAAATAAAATTACAATTTTCACCTGTTCCTGTGATAAAGTACTGGTTGACACATTTAAATTAAGCAAGTAATTACCGCGCAAAAATATCAAATTAATATACTGAGTATGTTATTAAAAAATAATTTTAAAATGTGCCGGCGACGGTCTTCCACTGATCCGTAAAATGTTACTTTTAACAATTAAATAGTTCAGCCGCAATTTCCCGTGTCGTATAATCTGGATAACCTTGTAGGTATACGATTTAATATCTGGATTAGGTGCTCACAAGCTGCCAAATAAATGGACAATTAAGTTAACTTGTCTTCTATATACGACATTAAGAGTAATTTAATTGAAATGAAAGCGAAATACTGCTAATCCAGACTGTATTGAGATAGTTGGTGTTAATTATATGTTCAAGCCAATTATTAAAATCAACTATACCCAATGTGCCCCAACTTTGTCATATTGTACTTCGCAAAAAACTTTGTTATTTTCAATAAAGTTCATTTTATATCAAATATAAATTAGATTACATCAAATTCGGACACAGGCTTCAATTCAGGTAATGGTAAAAAGGCCACAGACCATTATTCTCGATTTCAATGGCTTTCTTTTCAAGGCTTCTTAAATAAATAAGCATTTTTCGTAATAACGGACCTGACAGCCACATATATAAAGGAATTACCGTGGCTGTAACATATTTGGTGGGCGTCGGCAGGCAGTTTCAAAAAGTAGTGCAGAAATATTGAATAATCCTTGCAAATGCGGAAATTCAGGGCGGTTTGAGACGTTTGCAAAGTCTGTTGGTATGTTGAGTTTATTGCAGCGATTTAAAAAAATATAAATTTACTCACCTGATAAATTGCAGGTGGTACCCATAAGACTTCGCCATTAGGGTATATGAGTACATTTGATTTATATCTGACCTCGTAATTTCCATCAGCACTGAAAACGAAAAATTAAATGAAAAGCGCTTAAGTGAATTTGCCTCGTAATACTCAATGTAATTTCTCCCGTCTACTTGTTGATGCTTCCCTTAAAGGGAAAGTGAATTGATATGAAATAATCCCGGAAAACGACTATTTGGACTGATCCGATTAAATCAACAGGCAAATTTGAAAAGTAATTTCAAACTAAACCTCTAAGGCTCAACTCGCCCAACCCTAGGGATTTCAATGTCAAATATTCACGCATGGATGAATTGAAATAGTAAATTGCTTACAATTGAGAAATAAACAGGACTAATTAAAATCCAATTATTAACTTGGTTGTTGGCAGGAGGTTCGAAAGACCATTAGATGAAAATCAGTATAAAGTAATGCTTTGAACAGAAACAAAATAATGTTTTAATGTTAGGACAACTTTGGTTTGACCTTTATTTCGTTATTGAATCACGAATCCTGCCAGTTTGCCTTTAGTTTATTAGATATATACTTCCTCTTTCATAAAAAATCACATCGTAACAGTCGAACGTGAGGAACATACAAGCACAACCTCTTCAAATAAGTTCCCTTTTCAATCCGATAGTCAAGTGAGTTAATGAAAAAACTTGTATATGCAACGTAGTCCTTCAAAGATTATCCTGCAACCTGCATCCATGAATTCCTTTGATTAAACTGATCCATTTCGAATCTCTGTTTGGCATAACGTAATTAACCTCATGAGCACCCACTTAATTTATTACTTTTGGTTGGTTTGAGTGACTAAGCATTAATTTAAATTAATTCCAATTCATTTCCATGTTTTGCAATTTACACAGTATTTGCTTGCTTTAACGCGTTCATTAAGATTTAATTAAGCTTTATCTGCCTGAATTCTCGAATACGTTAAATTAATGTCACATGTAAATACAGCGATGTTCCATTCAATTTTTAACTATTTTTTGGTACGATTACTTTTCACTCTAAATATAGAACTTTTGTTTCTGTTTTTTTAGTTGTCAGAGAATTTTTAGCAACGTTACAGATGCACCCAAAAAAACAGACACGTTTTGCTTTCGATAATAATACCCTCTTGTCTTGAAATCATGAATTTCTTTTGATTGAAAGTTCTTTCTTTAACCTTTAAATTTTGTCCTTTCAACTATGTTATATAAAGCCTGTTTCCTTTAAAGTCATCTCCGGAATATGCAAGTAATTCATATGGGAATATGTCGTTTCACTGTTCGAGCCCTAAAGGTTTTTAATATGGAAATGAAGGGCATGTTAACGTAGGCTAATCTGATTTTTCCAGGAAATCCAATCTGGAGCGGTATCGAAAATTTGAATATGATATTAAAATAATAAATACCTTGAATATTCCATATAACCCAATCATGTGTGCTTTTAAAGCGTTTTCAGTGTGAATAAATCAATTAACCTTATGCCGTTAATATCGGCATTAATAATGGAAATTCAGTTTATTATAAAGTTTATTCTGCTAGAATACCATAGATTTTAAATGCGCATATTAACATATTTTCATAATTTGAAACGTATTTCAAATCAGCTACATAAGAGGAAAGTTTGAATATATAGTCGTCTTTAAGAAATGTATGCTTAAGGAACCGTAAAGCTTGAGAAATCACCCGTGAAGAGTTATATGTGAATTTTCGGGTCCATTTTTAAGATCAAGTACGCTTTTTTTTTATTATAAACTAGTTTTATTATATGCTTACTTAATATGAAATTTCATTATCTGTAAAAATAAAATATTGACTGTAGCAAATGATAAAATAAGGAAACAATTAAAAGCAGCTAAATTCACTAGAAAATCGATCAAACGTGGTAAATATTGAGGCAGAATAATTACAGATTTCTCCACAATATTACATTGTTCAATTATTATAAGAAACGCAGTTTAAAGTTGTAAAAAATATGTAATAAACTCACTTATTAAATAAAACTATGTCGGGTTTCCAAACTTTGTCTGGCGGTAACCGAAGAACCGCGATTCCTCCATAATCCGCTTCATCCCATTGCAACTGGTAGTCATTCCAGACCTGCAAATGAAGTTCTTCAAGCATCCTCTGAAGAACAATGAACCGAACTTACCAATCGAAGCCAGACGTTTGATTTTAAAATTTGATTTTTCTCGTTCTGAAACAAACAAGTTTCATCACTAATGAGAAATTTGCTACGTTTGCCTTGTGCCTATGGCCTTATGTTGATTACATTATTTATTTGCAACTTTCAAGTGGTCCAGATCTCCATTAAGTGCAAACTTTACTTGTGTATCAGTTTATTAATAGCTTTAAATCTTTTGTAACATTTTGGGTAAAGTTATGCCAATTATCACAGGAAAATAAACCAGAAACCCATGTCGACTTCGTATTAATTAATATTCAGTACGCCTTTAACATCGGGTATGAATAATATTCCAGAAGATATCAAGGAACTTAACAAACTCTTGTTGTTAAGACAATGTGAATTCATGATTAAATAGGGTTTTGCTAATTTCAGGGATGACTTAATTCGAATTTCAATGGGCAGATTCTGTATAAGTTACGAGTTAAAGTTACACAGGTATATATTTTCCTTAAATGGCAAATGCAGGAAATGCCAAGTATAAAACGATAATCGAAATTGAAGCAACTTTGAAGACTTCCGAAATTTATTTATCGCTTATTCAGTTGAAACTGCGACATTTGTTGGGGCATATTAATTGTTTCTTTTCTGCGTAAATTAAGAATGTCTGCAGTCATTTTCATAAATTAATTAAAAACTTGATTACTAATTAGTTATGAAAATATACTGGTGCCTCGATTGTCATTGGTTAGGTACATATTCCTTACTATATTATCCGTCAATGTGAATTTCTGTTATTCGTAACCCCAACTCAGGAAAACGTGGCTTCATTCGAAGACAGGACTTGTCCACAAAAGTTCAGGATGGTCGACAGATTAAAATTTCATTTTAATTCGACGTTTCTTTGGGATTTTTTTCAATACCTTTAGGAACGTGACCAGTATTCGTAAAATTACAATGCAGATTGATGAACATTTGTTTGTATTCCTATTAGGTATTTTTTAAGCAGGAAAGTTTTGTTGATATTTCCGCACTGATACTGTTGCACTTCCATCACAGTATTTCCCATTTCCCATTTAAGATTGACCACGAAATACCTTGTTAAGCGGTTGCCATCGAGTCTCGGGACATTATATTTAGTGACTGATATCAGAATTTCATTTTGGAAAAATAAATTGTCCTCTCCTGAATATTCGAATAAGTTTTGTTCATTTTTGCCGCTTGAAATATTTTTGTCGCTCGAGTACGACTCCTTAGAAAATTGTCTCAAAATCATCGTTAGTATTAACGGTTAAACTATTTGAATATAGCCTCTGAATTTATTTTGTATTTTTTCAAGCAAATTCTAAACAAAAATACACAGACGTTCAAACGGTCCAAATAAATAAAACATCCGAACATTTTATTTACCGTTCCGCATCTCTTCAAATTTGAACAAGCTTCTTTTATTTGGTAAAGTATTTGCATATAGGATGTGAAAATATTGTAAATTTAAATGTTGATTTTGGATTCGAAAGGTTCAAAAACACACATTTTGCCCGATTGCTAATATTCTGAAAATAGCAGGATTTTGTGTTTTGGCAATTTAAATTTAATTTAAAATGTAAACGGTGGGCTTATTGATGTTTTTAGTTTTTTTTTGGATATAGGAATATTTGCACAATTGCCGGTTTCAATACATTTCTCTAAATATTTTAACAGTCTGATCTAAGAATAGCTCTGGAATGGTCTCTGGTAAACCACTCGTAAACATTTACTTCTTGTCAATGCTTTTATCATGTGCTGTGTGTGTCATCTGCATCTACCTAGTTTTCCCTTACAACCTTGACATAAATAAATCTTCTTAATCACATTGTCTGATGTCTTATTAATCCAAACGTTTATTTAAAGTAATTGGCTTCGTCTTGAGAGTATTTATTTTAAGCAGCTGAATGCTGAAGAGTTTGTAATAAGAAAAGTGTTCACGACTGAGTCTATATAATTACAATTAGGCTGAACAGCGCACTTAAATATTTCCAAATATTCAATTAGCACCGTAATACCGTCAGTTATTTCGCTTCAGACTGTTTAAATTGTGGAAATAAAATTTTTTAGCTGTCCAAGACGGTTCTTATTTTCGCCAATTTCCGCATCTTCCTCATATGCGGTGAAGAATTTGCACAGGGAATTATTTGAATTTTAAATGTCGACTGTCGCAAGTTTGGAAAGCAAATAAAGGGCTTGAATATGTCGTTAGAGCGACATTCTCCGGAATTAGCAGGCCAGGATTTTCTAAATGGTTTGGAGCCCCGTTATTTTTTTTAACAACTTGTCAAAGTGGGAATTTTCGATGTTTTTGAGGGAAAGCTTTAGAGGAATTTTGCCCTTGGGGTCCAATTTTTTAATGGGAATAAAATCTGTTTGCGGATGCTGACATTTGTTTCTTGAATTATCTAAAGCGATCTGTCGAAGTATGTGAATCATTTAGTTAAACTCCAAAAATCGAACGTGTTTAGTTAGAATTAATTAAAAAATTGCATTAATTTCTAGGCATAAATTACGGAATTATCCCCATGGGTTTACCATGGAAATATGCGATAAAGTCGACATTCCGGAAATTGTCTTTAGATCCTTTGCAGATAGCTGATCTAACACAGTAAAACCGAAAGGCGTGCCCGACCGGAGAGAATAAAATATTTTGCATACATCCGCCTTTAAACCCTTAGGAAATTTGCAAGCTGTTTAGCGAATTTTCATATAGTTTAAAAGTCATTTTAAAGGCATTGATATGCAAGGGAACTCACCAGATATAGTTAAAACTTCAGAGGACCCCTTTATTTTTATGACTTTATTGTGGTTTTGCATTATATTTTTGATTAATTGTTTATGTTATTTTCAGGTTGTTCGTCTTTTCCTGAGGGTGAGTAGCTGATTTTTACATGGCCAAATTGTATTTTCAATGATTGTTTAATGTTTCTTACAAAATTTCTCTTCAAATATTCTCACATATTCAATATCACAACTTATGCGATGCTAATGGGCAACATTGAATCACACTCGTATCTGTTTCAAATCGATCATAGGGTCGAGAGGTATTTGAAATTGCTATAATTTCGTGCTATATTGAATAAAAACATCTACTCAAAGTCAATTGAGGCAAAAAAAAATTTCTCGTTCGCGGCTGACTGTCAACTGGCTGGTGTTAATTTAAATCATCCACTGTTGGTGGATTATAATGTTAATCCACAAATAGTTTGAAACTTGAAACGTCTCTGATCGAAAGCAGTATTTTTGATGGGAAAACTTCAATTTTTGCTTAAATATAATCCACCAGCTTCAGGGGAGTAAAAGTAGCTTCACCAAAAATGTCAAATATACTCGTTGCATATACGTGGTGTTTCAATTTAAAAGCCGAAATTAAAAGACGCAAAAACTGATTAAACGAGTTCTACAGTCAAATGATTAAAATGTTAAATTATTGATAAATTAAATTAAATTGGTTATGTTAAAGCCACGTGGTAAAACGAGTTGAAATGCACACGTGTAATCATTTGTTTTGTTGAGATTCTGATTGTAAATCATTTTCCATTATTTGACATTTAAATTGCTTGGTGTAAATCGGCAATACATAGCAGAAATGATAAAACTGGAAAAAGCATTACCTTTATACTCTCGTTGTTTGGGCATATTGCAAATATCTATGCAAAGCGTTTTGGATATATTTCAATTTGATGCACTTGGAATTCATGACCATAAATTGCAGAATGACATACTGTTCGTTACAAGTGGGACAAGAAAGATGGCTTTGGACTATTTACTAGGGCAAACGTGAGCCATTCGAATAAAGTAAACATTGGAAAACTGACCCACTTTTGAAAAATTCGTTACATATTTATTAGATCTATCAGATGAGATGCTGAAAATCACAGATTTAAAGTAATTATTTTATGGTGGTTAAATTTTTGTTTCAATGGACATTTTTTTTTTATTAGAAATTTAATTTTCTGAGCAACTGATATAAATTAATCAAGATAATATAAGCAGCTCGGAGCATAGAAGGAAAATTTAATCAAGGAGTGTACAATCAGGTAATTTGTGTCGTTTTAGTAGGCAAAGGATAAGTTTTCCCTTTTTTTGTCTTCAGGCTTCAGATATCGGAATTTAAACATAACATTGATTGATTTATGCCGATCAAAATAATAGTTTTTGAATAAAATTTGTCGCACAATTTTCATTATTAACAAAATCTTTAAATTAGCTCGACAAAATGGTAAACAATTTGTATAAAGCACTTTATTGGAAAAACCTGATTATTTTGCTAATTATTTCGTCTTCAATTGACGGAATGCAATGGAAAATAAAGCGAGCTTAAACGATACACCTACGCTTTTGCATTTATAATAATATACAGGTTTGGAAAACAAATTTTCGTGGTGGATGAATATATGAAAGCAAAGCCTATACTTCCCCATTTAAAGCCTATAGGAAAAGTCTACATTTTCAGAAAGAATGTTTTTCAGAAGAAAGTCACACATACAGATTTGAAGATTAGAAAATCGCCTTGCTTTGCTGGAAATGCTTGTTGCCCAAAGGGCAAATTTATAGATATAATCAAGAATGTAAATTTTCTGTTAATCGACTTGACGATTTGATTAATGCAGCTTTTAATGTTTCACTTAAAATATTCTTGATGTGCCTTCCTTCCTTATATTCAACTACTTGATCATGTACTTGAAAACGAAAACGTTTCAGTTATCTAATGGGATTTCCATGTTAACGAGTTGTTAGCGGCATCAATGAATTTAAATTGAAATTAGTTTTATCTATTTGGATCATCCCGTTATTGTGAAGTAGTAAATTGTTCCTGACGATGTTGTGCGTTTTAGGGGAGCAAAATATAGGACGGGCTTCCTAAATGTTTCCCTTAAAGGGCGTTGCTGTGTGGTTTGATAATTTACTCCCTAAGTAAATACTGAATATGCTGTGTTGGGTTTTTTCTTCTAGATAGATATTCTGCCTTATAAATATACGGGCTTGATGATGCAAAGGCATTAATTAAATGGCAAACTATTTTTTCTAAACGCATGTTTCAAGCAAACAGATCGCGTTAAAACGTCATCAAAAACTGCTTTGGATTATTTGATAAGATGTTTAATAAGAGGTGAATATGTATTATTAATCCTATGCTGCATGCATACATTTTCGTTTAATTCTAATTCCAAACCCCAATATACTGCGCAATATTAAGTCAAATATTTGCTTGGAATATGAATCTCAAAATCCAAATGAATCTCAAATCTATTTTTGTAGGTAAATATACAAATGTGTAAGAGAACATGGAACACTGAAGTTAGATGGAGCGGTTTCTCTTCAAATATTTGATTTGTGGATTAAAAAAAGACATAAACGAAAAATAACTCCTGTAATTTTTCAAAAAATCTGCTTATCCTATCTGGGATTTTTTGGTTCTTTAAAGTCTGGTAGCTAATGGTTGTTCAATATCATTACATGTCTTAGCGTTACTTCACGTCTTGCCTGCTAGTTTGGCACCTCAAATGATAAATCTTTCATTTTATGGGAATCGATTGAAGATTTAAACCTGCTGGGCTATCGAGTCCGATATCTGAAATATTCACTACGCCCAGCCGGACGAGAAGCCACCAGCTTTGTGATCTATCAGTGGGATTTGCTCAGTTGAAACAGAATTTTTCCCGAAAAGCCAACATATTTGTTATGTTTTCATTACCTATTCAATTAACCTTTACGGATGGCAAGAAGAGGTTATTGCATTTTTCGCGAAAACAGCGAAGCAAAGACCAGCAAAGTTCTTAAATAAATGGTACACTAAATATACATTTCTGATTCCGAAGGTTTTTACTGTTCAAAGAGTTTCAATTTTGTATTAATTGATTTAGAGCGAAATTTATCAAAAGAGTTAAGAATTCGGCATCTTCATTGGTTGCCACTTCGTGCAGTTGTTGCAGCAACCGAATAACTGAGTTTTTCGGGAGGTGGAAACTAATTTCTTCTTGACTTTTCGCAAGCACGAGTAGCCTGCATCTTGAGGGGGTGCCAAACAATTTCGTTTCGTTTAAATGTTGCTGAATGTTTCAGATCAGCGAAGAAAAATCACAAACATTATTTGGAAACAATCCGGCCCTTGGCTGAAATCTCAAAGTTTTTACGACAATGTTACAATTTTATAAAAATTCTGTAGTTATTTGACAAAGTTCGTCCAACAAAGCGGACAATTTTAATTGCAGTCCAGCATAGGTCTGTTTACAAATTCATAAATAAATCATTTTATATTCGACATTTTTGTTTTGCGATAACGAACCTGGATTTACCTGCACATAAATAAAAGTGATGTATGGACTTTTATTTGTGTATAATTCCCAATAGAAACTCGGTATGATTTTTGAACAGTTTCCACGGCGAATCTTGGAACACTTTTTATGTCGATGAGTTTAAAATTTACGTCATTTTCTATTAAAAACTTTATATTTCAGGGATGAAAAAACTCGACTTAGACGGCTCAATAGTAAACAGCTTTAAAGTTGTTCTGTTTCAAATTTCTTTAATGCGCTTTTTTTCGTCATTTTCTTTTCATCATCATTTCTTTACAATAGATAGAAGTATTCACTGTTTTTAAACTGTTCCGTTTATTTACTTTTTGGTGGCTGCACATCAACAAAGGAATTGAAAAATGTGAGGAAAAACGACTTTTCTATTTGAAGTTGTTTTCTGTAAGATGAAATCTTGTTGTACAAGATGCATGCGAAATCAATCAAAATGCATTAAATAATTGACGCATTTTTCTTCGTCATTTTTACAATAGCACAAGTTTTCACTGTTTTTAAATTGCTCTGCTTAATTTTTGGTGGCTGCAGATTAAGAACGGAAGAATTGAGAAATTTTCAAAAAATGTGAAACAAAAACACTAATTTTATATTTAAAGTTGTTCTCTATAAAAAATCAAACAAAATGTATTAGATAATTGAAAGCTTTTAACAAATTGTACTTTTAGCAACCCCTGATTTGAAAAACTGCAATAGAAAACCGATAATAAAAAATTCTTAAAAAAATTAAACCCCTTTGTTGATTTGCGCAACTTCATGTTTACTTACAGTTTTGACTCGTAAAGTATAAAATTAAAATAAAATAGGGCAACTGCTATGACCTATTTTTGAAACGGAACACTCCGAACAATAAAAGAAATTTGTGTGTTTGTTACGATCTCAAATAACATACAAAACTAACTAAGACTTGGAAGCTGGTGGAACTTTTTATTCAAATAGTCGCGACTTTTTCCCAGTTGTAGTAAAGCATTATCGTAGTTTAGTGGAAGCTACTCTCAGTTTCCATGACAAACACACCCATTTTCGTATACACGTTAAACCTGTTAAGCTAGTAATCAACTCTGGTTTGTGTTAGATTTTAGACATAAAAGTAATAAGTGTTTGTTGTGAATTGTATAAAAAAGCAATTTCAGCAAGGGAAGGTTAGTTTTTGATGGTATCGGAAATTAGTTCTCTTTTAGAGTGGCTGCGACTTAGGGGAGAGCTTATAGAATAGTACAAACTATAGAAAATAGTGTACTTACAACATTGATAAGTTGAACGAAAGCCAAACCAAATCTAACGTCCAATTTCTCAGTCATATTCTGAACGGGGCGTATCAGTTTGTTGTACCCTCTGAAAAGATCACGAACCAGTCGTTCTTCATCTTCAGAGCAAAAACCTAAAATGCGATAGTTTTTAATAGAGGTGTGAGATAATTGCCTTTGTTGGAATGTTGGGGAGGGGCTTTGTTTACATCTTAAACTTAGAAGAAAAGTTTCTAGTGGGTGTGCCGGTAATAAATGCGAACTCACCCAAATGAGTAACGTGTAGAACCAGTAGCACCCAAGGAAACACACGACGTTTAATTTTTGTCCACATGACTGTTTTTCGTGCAATTTTTTTAAAATTATTCTAAATATCATCGATATAAAAAGCGGTCACTTTTGACTTCTTCCATGTTATTCAGAAGAAAGCCAATATATTTAGATTCCATTAAGAAATATTTCGAAAACGCGTGGCTCACTCACGAAAAGAAAACACTCTTATGTTGCCCAAACATGTTTACTCGAACAAAACATCGTCACAACTCAGATCCCGAGTATCAGAAGCGAGGTTAAGCAAGTCAGCTAAATTCCTCGAGTGTTGGAGGAACGTTGTGAACTGGGCGGTTTTACCCTAAAGTCCCTCATCCCCACTATGAAATTGTAGGATAATGGCACCAGATGGCGTAGCAAAGGGCGCGGAAAGGGTGCTAGTTCAATTCAGTAAACTCCGTATGCCCTTTGTTGCCACGCGTGTCCAAATTCCACTAAAATCTGCCACATTTTTTAAATTTCGGTTGAATTATCTTGCTGCATCACATTCCCTATATGACTAATAAGACCAGAACACATTTCGCGATAAATCCTTCAGGTACTAAAGGCGCTCATTATCCAAAAATTGAGGAAAACCGCATAAGGGCTGTGAGTGCAATTGGCAACAATGCGGCAAAAATCTATAAAATTTAGGTGTGAAAGCGTTCGGAGTTCAACGAGTTGCCTCCTCTTTATGTAGCATACAAAGATTTGAGGATTTATTCCGTTTTTTTCGGTAAAAAACGTTTAACTCAACTCATTTTTAATACTCTTAGGCACATTTCTTCAGCATCTTTTCGGGTGGGCATTCAATTTTTGCGCAGTACATTTAAATTTTGATTTTTGAAATTTAATTCAAATTAAGGCGCGAAATCAGTGTCGGCGTCAATTAATTGAGAACTAAGGTGTAACTTTGGGGGGGCCATTTAAGGTATCCACGTGATTTAGTGGATTTAACTCAAATTTTTCTCTATTTGTGATGTCGAAATTATGAAAAGTGGAAACATCAAGTTGTCACTTTTTATCTCAGGCGAAGACGGGATATCAAAAATGTCAAATGTGCCACTTGAAAGCAGCAAACTTGCCAAATTTTGACATAGAAAATGCTGATTTTATGAAATGATTAGGTTCAAAAAGTTGACGCATATACCGAAAAAATCCCCAATTGGTTTGAAGCATAAGTTCGTATTCCTTTGAAGTGTTATTTTGGAAAATTTTCGAAAAATGCTTAAAACTCATAGCTAACCTAGAGTAAAACATGTCGTGTCTTGCATAGAGTGTGGGCACGTTTCTGACGGCTGCTCTACTACAACTTGGCTTTATACACTCAAATCGAGGGCAATTCATGGTAGATAGTATGCGCCATTCAAGCTCAGGAGGTGGCTTTGTCTGAAATTTTCCAGAGATGGATTAGACCTACATTTGGCAATATATCTTATTACTTTCTAACTGCCAAAAATTTAGTTCAGAGTTCAGTTCTATGACCGAATGTGTTTTTGAATCATTTCTGTAGCAATGAAGCTGTTTTCAAATTAACTGGGACAATTTTGAAAGGGTCAAATAGCTTGTCGCTTTGGAGTGGATATTTTTCTTCAATTCAATTGAAATTACTCTTCATTATTTCTAGTCAAATGCCTCTTATTCGTGGTACCCTACAGTCTTTCATTGATATCACCATTTATTTTTGGGTACTTAATTTACTAATAAAACAACCCAAAACTTTGGTTTATACTTACTTTGAATCAAACAGGTTGCCGTAGCTAATAAAATTGCACACTGTTAAATTGAAGATTTTTCTGCATAAAAGTAGAGTGTGTGTCATACTCAAGTAAATTATGCTGAAACAGTAATTAAAATTTATTTCACTGATCCGAGCCATGTCATCATGCGTTTTATTGAAGAAAACTCACTTTTGAAAATCGGTTATCGGGAAAACTATGCTTTCCTAACTTGCATTGTCAAAAGTTAAAATTTGTTTGGAAAGATTCATGGCAAAGTAACGTGTGTGTCATATGCGAGTAAATTATGCGCTCGAAGTTATCTGCTGTAAGGGAATTTTAGAAATTGCACTTAATAATGGAATAGAATAAAATAATTTTGCTAAAATAAATCTTACAGTGTTTTGCTTAGAGCAAATAGAATCACTTATGGCGGTAGTTTTATGCATTTTCGCACGCTGCAGCAAAATATTAATTGACGCACTTTGGGTTATTTCTTTCGCGCCTTAATTCATGGAGTTTTCAATGTTCTGAAGCAAATATTGATAAAATCAATAATGTTATGAATATAATAATTGCAAATAAATATTTTGAACATTTCTCTGTATTCGAATCTTAACATCCATATGACTTTGAAGTTATTTTAGCGGGTTTAAAATTGCCCCAAACGTCGTTCTGATATCAGTTTTTGTTGAAAATCCGTTTTTACCGCTACTATTTTCGCCAACTCGCTATATTTTTGAGGTTTTCCTATGAACAGTTTTTTTTAAGAACGGATTGAGCACATGTTTATTTTCTGCAATTGTTATAACAATTTTTCTATTGATTGCAATATTTGCTTAGAAGCCAAGAAAATAACCAACAATTTTCTGATGCCATTGAAAAGGTGCTTTACATTCATTTAAACATTTTAGCTACTGATAAAATTTTCATAATCATTTATATATATGAAATATTAAACGCATCTATCTAAGCACTAAGCATTTTAGGAAAATAATTAGTTCTTATAATACTTTTGAGTTGGACCTTTTGCTGATCATTCTGTATGCATTTATTTAAAATTGAACTGAAATAACGGTCAGCTTAAATTTGGCGCTGAAGAAAGTCGATGTCAATTGTGTGTTGCCTATATATAGGCGGTGAATATACTTTTCTTGTCTCCATTAATCGATTATCGAATTATATTTTGAAAACCTACTATTATTAAGCCAGTCTGAACAAAAGGGCTTTTTGTAAACTGTTTTTGTTAACATAATTTTTATGATGGACGTAAAACGACAAATCATTGTTCAAATTCAAACAGAACGCAATTTTGAATAATTCTCTTGTCAACGTTATTTTCCTGCCGTATTATTCGATTAACTCAATTGAGAAAGAATAAATCAACATATCGATATAATTGGAAATGCTGGTTTTGCAGAAAACCGCTTTGTGTGAGTGAAACCGTCCTTTAAATTCCCGAAATGTGGGGCAGAATTAAAGCTAGAGGAGTCATTGTGGATTAAGGATGTAATTGAAAATGGCAAATACGAGTTAATTTTATCACTAAGGGAAAAGAAGCTGAAATGGAAAAATGTAAAGACCGAATTTTCCTAGAGAATTGTTAAAAAAATGTGTTGTTCAAACATTTGATATTGTTGATTATATTTGTTCCTATCAAAATGTGAATTTATCGGCTTCCTAGGCCGTCGTGGAAAATATTTCCTTCCTGACGTTTCACAAGCACGAGTGGCTTGCACCTTCAGAAGTGGTTTGCTCGACGTCTAAATTCGTCAGATATAACTGAACCAGGGCTTAATTCAGGTTAGATTGGGGAATAGGAGGAATGAAGTTAAAATGCGCGATTGGTTTATTTTTAAAGTTTAATTGAAATTCTTTTAACAAAGTTACAATCCATTGTAGTAAAATGTTACAACAGCTTGGGATACGATACAAAACGGCCCTACTAAAATGTGGCATTGGGATGCAATGAATGAATTAAATTAATAATTGTGTTCATGGCATCCCAAAGAAAGACATATGCTAACTGTCTACTAATGACAAAACAGATTGTCAGTTTTTACATGTATTATTATGGGATTAACATTTTCAAATGATGGAAAAGTTTTATTTTACATAACAATGGAACAAGATAGTCCTTTACCTATAGATAATGTTTGAAAGATTTACATTTTAAAACTTTTTACAATACATTGTTAGGTTCATCACATGTTGTTAAGAGAGATAGACCACACGACTCAGTGTGAGTTAATGCTTACCACTAATTTCTATTCTAGTTTTTGTTTAATTTGTAGCAAGTCCTTAATTATTAATAATTAGCCTAGTGCAAATAACAACTCTAAACTAAGCATTTCCTTGATTTCTTAATTAGGATTAGAAGATATTACCATATTTGAGCAATTTGTTCTCATCTCAGAATTTTTATCGAGCGGTGTATTTTAAATATATTCATCTTTTGTTGTTTGACCACAGATTTGAGTTTTTTGTCCGTTCAGCCATTTTCAGGATAAGGGAAGGTCATACCCTACAGAAACGGGTCGTTTTTTACTGTGATCGACCGTTTTTGTTGAATATGGGGAGGGAATTACTTTGCTTGCCATCAGCGGTTGGTCAAGTGGGTTATATGATACGGATTTGAGGGCAGCAAACAATATATATAGCAGCTTTTGCCGTTGTATTTGTTTAGCAACTTTAAGCATTACATTAAAATTCGCATATTTAATACATTCCTTCTAAAGAATGCTAAGTATTTGACCATATTTTGGTAGGTATATAACTTCTGAGAATAGAGCGACTGTCTACCCTCGTTCCAATTTTGCTGAGGTTTAATTTTCTCAATCATTTTCGCTGCGTCAAATCGAATTATTTCTTCCGGCATAAATCACTGAAAACCGTGAGCTGGGCAGTTTTAATAAGGGTCAACCTGCCACCAAAATGACTGCTAATGTTAAACGGAAATGCATTCGATTAAGGCAAGACCCATTATTGGGCCATTATTGGTTTCATTTCCGAAACCATTACGGCACTGTCTATTTTATAACGTATTGGACTTGGGATAGGACAGTTCTAGGTGATTCAGGAAGATCTTGAACGGGAGAACGTTTTACAGCCCGATCAAGGAATTTTGATAAAGAGCTTGAGGATAATCAGTTTGAACTTTTCTCGTTAGTCATTTGGCTGCTGAGAAAATATTGTTATTACATTTTTACATGATGATTTTTCATATTAATTCAAAAAAGTTAATTTATGGGAAATGCCGCTTTGCAATTGAGTAATCGGGGCTATTAACATCAAAACGTATTCATTACAATGTTCAAAGGCAAAATGTTCCTGTAAAATGGTGATTTTGCTGCCTTATCATCTAAATGGCCCATTTAGCAAAGCTGATATTCCATTTAAAGCTCCTTTATCCTTTTTCCAGTTGGCTGCTGTTTACTTTTATATAATAATTATTTGCACTAGGTGGGTTTTTCCATAATTCACGGAAATATTGAACATAATGAATATAAATGAGCACACTATTCCAAATAGAATTAGATATATAATTTTGAGCAGGAATCTGTCAAATTACTTTTTTAACGCCGAAAAATTTGCAGACTTTTGCTCGCCAAATAAATAAAATGACACTTGGTTACTAATTACTAGGAAATTGCCTAAATATTGCGTACAAAATACACTAGTTATTTCTATAATTATAATGTATTAAGGTTCAATTAGTATTGAAAATTATACCAGTTCAGGGTTTTTTATCTTGAAATTCTTTGGTAAGTCGAGCATCGGGACTTATTATAGGTTGAGTTACTTTAACGAAGCGTATCACTATGTTCGGGAACTGTAATCGACTACTAAAAAAATTGTAAATAAATAATTTTGTTATAATTAACAACAATCCTATAAAACTCTAGTTTCTATATCTAGTTTAAATATATATTATAATAGAGTAACAATTCTTTTTGAAAGGTTATATTTTGTAAAAACTCAGTTTCAATGGTTCAACACGTACAAGGAAATCCTCTATTGCTTCTTATTTACAACTGATTAATTTTATACAAAGTGTTTACAATTACATCTACCAACTTTTAAGTGAATAAGCGGCTTCTACTAGTTACTAATTGATAAAACACCTTGTATTCGAATAAATTTAAATGTAGACTTAAAATAGGTTTAAGTGAAGACGAAAACACATATTCGGTGGGAAAGACAGCTATTAGGCAAGACGTTTGAAAACTTTGTCTAAGCCTTCACTTATACACAAATTGCATTTATTCAATGAATTATTAAAATTTGCCGGTGTGTGTGTCACATTTTTGATAAATGGTTTACTAGATAAATAACTACTATTCAAATCATATATCGATTGGTAGGAATTCGTCGTAATAACCTCAATTAAAATATGCCTTCATGAATGCTAGCGATGTTACGGCAGAATTCTAGAGTGATTTATCACAAGCATTCCCTGTTCTATTCGAATATATGTCCTATACAAGTTACGAGAACGCGCATTATAGATCTATGACAAAGGAGAGACGATACGGAAAATTATTATATTTTGAGAGGTTTTATTCATACATTGATATAATTCTTTGTGCTGTTTTAAGTTAGCTGTCTATTTTGTGGAACAGTAAAGTACGAAAGGTCACCCGCTTATATAAAAATCATCCGCCATTTTTCTACCAAACAAATAAAAACCACATTTCTAATCAAAATTTCCATTGAAAAGCCTCGGCTTCAATATCCGTCTTCGGATATCGCTCGATTGGCAAACGAGACCCATATACAAAAAAGTGTGAAACGTTCCCTCTTTATACTCAATTGAGTACAATGACCACTGACCTGTTTTCTTTGGAGGCGTCTGTATCACCAGTTCTTTTCTCCATTTCTAAATATAAGGTTTGATAGACCACGCCGTAGCATTATTTAATTTAATGCTGTGATCGAGAAATTTATAATAAAACTGGAAATGAGCGACCTTATTTAATTTTCCATCTAAACTTTCCTGGCTATATTTCCTCCATTCCGCATATATTTGGGCGTTATTTTATTGGACTACGTTCAGAATTCAGTTAATTGCTTTTTGTTTGCCTGAAATTCCTCAGAGAAATTGTTAATTGAATATTTAAATTTTCTCCTTTGTGCTGATATTCTTCTTTTCCGTGAAAATTGATTTGCTTGAAGGCATTTTCCTACGCTGGGTACTAAAAATTAACTGAAACGTTTACTGTAAACAGATATGCCAAAACTTGCACTACTCGATATTTCAGTTGCACTGAATATTTTTTGCAATCTATTCAAATTCGAATTTCCGGCGGTTTGCAATAAAACAAATGGAAAATTGTAGTCCTCTGTTTTGGATAGTAATTCTTGTTATTGGAGTTCTAATTCAGCTCCGATGAACTGATTAGGAGAACATTATTAGCACAGTGCCTAAAATCCTGTTTGTAAATTGTTACTGCTTGAAAATAAATATCTATTTTTCCGTTTAGTTCCCTCCGTCAGCTTTAAAAGCTTTGCGGGTCTGTTTGCCAACCACTTCTCAGCGTAATTAAGGTTTCGACTAGCATTTTCAGTGTATAGCATTACAAAATCAGGAGAAGAATAAATAGGAACCTGGAACGGATAAAGCAACAGCATTGCATGAATCGAAGTTGCTTTCAGAAAAATATTTCCTTCACTTGAGATGGCCTCGTATTTATTTATTACGTGGCATTTTACAGCCAAATTATAGATACAGCTTGCCATACGACATACCGAATTTAACGAGTTTGAGGACAATGCAACATTCTAACGATTTGTTCTTTGCAAAGTTAGCTCGAATGCGCATACTTGGTGATTCCGGCCCATCTTGTATGCTCGCTTGTTCAGAGCTAGAGTTTCAAATGCTTTCTAAACTATTTAAACTATTGAATCGACTCGACAATGCCCATTTACGAACTTTAATAAAAATCACGTTTTTGAGCTGAAAAACTAATAAGCTTGACGTGGAAAGAATTTATTACACTTTAAGAAGCGATAGTTTTATTAGGAATTTCATGCGGCATTTTCTAGCTTGAATCCACCTAGATTACTGCACTAGGGATGTAATGTATTCAATTTGCGTAAGCGCTTTGCCGTAAAACTTGGATATCGATGTTTACCTGCTAAAAGCGTTAGACTTTGCCAGATTTGTAACTGTTGAGCTACAAGGCAAAATTTATTCTAGATGTTTTGCAAGCATAATGTTTTTGCTTGAAAGTGTTTCGTTAAAAGTTATTATTTTACTTATTATTTGAAAGTTTAAACTGAGTCCAATGTAAAATTTCAACCAAAAATCCTTCTGAATGTAAGCCACTCGTAATTGCGAAACATCAAGAACAAGTTAGTTTCCACGGCGGCCTAATAGCCCGAAAAACTCGCTAGATTCAAACAACATCGGTTAGAATGAATGGAAACCACTCGTTCGAGCCGCTAAACCAGGAAACAGTTCTTTTTCATGACGACTTTTGAAGAAACTTCGGAAAGTTTGCTATGAAGAGAAAGTTACATGTTATGTTCAGAACTGTGACAAAAAAACGACGAAGTTCTAACAGCAATTTTTTTTTTCATTTGCCTGTTAGTTTCATCAGCTACGTTTTTGACGTTTTTTTAGACAAACAGGTTTTTCCAAGGAAAGTTTAAAAAGTTTGTGATTTTACTGATGTATTCTTTTGCAAATATCTCAGCTTTCAGGAAAAAATTCATTTTTTTTAAATATTTTTCTGCATTCCTTTTCATCTCAATAAAGACGACCTTAGCATCACTTAAAAAAACCCCAGTTTGAAAAAAATAACTTTGAAAGTATTGAAATTTTATAGGCCATTTTCATGCGGGATGGTTGAAACGAGAAACGTGATTCTTGCATTTGACGTGTGTAATTGGACCGATTTATTACTTTCAGGATATTTATCTGGCAAACCAATCAAAAATGTGACACTGGAGTTCAGAGATATGCGAATATTTGTGTACGTTGACGCAGTCTTTGATAAAAAAAAGCCTCGACAAGTTTAGTACTATAACTGATTCTATACCAGAAATTCGTCTATAGCTTCAGTTAGATACTTACCAAAATATTAAAAAATTACTGGATATGACATTGCTATGTACCCTGCTAATAAATCCTATCGAAGATACATAAACAGATAATATCTCATACATCACAACTACACTTGCATTTTGGTTTGCCTTATGACTACATGTTTGGTCATCAATTTTCTGCTGTTGATTTATCGATTTGAAATGATCTTTCAACAAGAAAATCATCTGACCAGTGATATTGGAACACTAAACGTGCCAAGGTTCTTTTGCAATTAAGACGATTATATGATGGCAAACGAACCCAATAATTTCATATATCACAGAATGATTGTGTAATACTTCTAGTAACATGGATTAATAAAAATTGAAATATCAAATCATCAACCATTATGGGTTTTATGACTATACGCAGTACGTTTTGCCGGGGTTATAACAAGTTGAATTGATCGACCCTAGTGCCGATATACAGATCAACAGTTTTTCATCATTTATAGTAGTTAAAGCCCGCACTTTTGACGTGTAACTATTGGCAATAGTCATTTATTAGAGGCTAAAACAGAGCTAAACTACAATAATTTGTTATTTAGAGCGATTAATCCCTTCCAATAGAGTTTCTGCTGTCCACATCGATAAATATAGCATAAAAACTCTACGCGCTGATTAGCGCTTTTAAATATTTCCATCCACTAACTTCTTAATTAGTAAGTAACTTAGAATACCTTTATGCAAAAGCAGATCGTATTTTTGCCTAGAGCTAGCTACGAAAATAATTTCTAAGCGCGAATGATTCTAAATTGGCATTATTAGCAGATGCTTTTTGAGATTTGTATTGTCACAGTAACTAGTATTTTAGAATATGGGGATGCAAATTATAAAAAAAATAGTTCAAAACTGCATCTAAAGTAGCATCGAAAATGTAGTAAAGTGTGCAACCTGATAGAAGAGGCTTTTGCATTTTGGCTGCTAAATATATTCTAATAGAACATATCAAAAGATAATTTAACATTTTAGTTCACAAAATACGTGTCAACAGGAACGATCATAATTAATTCGTGTACGAATATCTACGGTCTGTATTTTTGGCACTATTTGACAGTCATCTAAATTGCTTCATTTAATAATTTGATCTCGAAAACAGTCCTGGGAAGACAGAACACGAAATTCGCATTTTCACTTACGCGATTTTTCATGCAGTAATCATATTCTAAAATGCATTCTCATATAGCTTTTAATGGGATTTCATACCTAGTTTAATATTAAATAAGCTCTATTACAAATATATTCGTCATTTCAATATCGATTCTAACATTATGAAGTAGCAATTGTAACACTAAGAATCATCGGGGCTTCTGAAAAATTAAGACGTACTCGAGACATTTTTTTGTTCATTTTAATTTTTTCTTGTAATTAACCAAGTTTTTGGAAAAACTGAATTTAAAAAGGGAAAAATCGGTGACCGGATAACCAATGTTCAAATCATAAATATATCAACTCGGATGAAGAAGGTGCTGATTAGTCGAAGCATACTAATAGTACTGATGTTTTTGAAACTATGCGAAATATCAAATAGAATTTTCTTGTAAACGTCGCTACGCTAATCATGTAAGTACTTCTAAAATCCTTGAGTTCTTATTTGACCCTGGATCAAATGCTCGATCCGGTCGGTAAAACTATTATCGGCAAAAAGAAGCGAGTGTTTCATTCATAGCAGTTTAAAGTACTGGCTTTTAAGCCCAACCGATGAGAGCTAATAGGTCCGAAACCGGCCCATCTTCTAGAAAAAGTTGATTTCTGTAATAGTTCACTAATTTTCACTTAATTTCGCTAGAAAAATGCTGGTTTATTTTTATTAATAGAGGGACAGCATGTAGAACTTTTCCAACTCATACAAAAAGACCATACAAGCATAAGTCTTCAAAAACCTGGGGTTCTTAGGAAATTCCATTTCAAATGAAATTTCGTTATGCGAATTGGTAATTTTGGCAATGGGAATTTAAAACAAGATTCAATTTTTCAATTGAAAACTGGTGATTTTTTCACGTTTTTGAACCGACGTGGATTTGAATTTCTGACCGACGTTTTGCAAGCACGAGTGGCAGACCTCTTCAGAGGTGGTCCCGTCTGAAATGTTAGGAAGTCATTCTGTTCCACGTCGGTATAAAAACCCGAAAAAATTACCAGTTTCAGATTAAGAGACTGTTGTAATAATCAGGGTCAAAAAGTAAAAAAAAACTCGCCAGTTCAAAAAAAACGCTGCCAGGGCACCTGTTTCCATAATTTTTAACTAGTTATCTTTAGATAAAAAAGTTGCCTGACCAAACCACGGCCAAAATGACTATTTTTTAACATAATTTGGCTTAATATCCCTCGATACATGCTGAATTTTCCGGTAATTATTTTATATGAAAAATAGTATTTTGATTGAAATCTGAAATCAACAAAATTAGATCACATAAAAACATCAATTTAACTATAACAACCATATCAATGATTTTAAGGCACAGCAACCACAGATTAGTCTACTAATCTATGCAGCAACAATAAAACATTTGTAAACATTAAAAAAATGCCTAATTAACTGATGCGTGCTTCATTAGTTAAACGTTAGTTAAAAAAATAAGTAGCTTAAACTTGATTTTCTACCAAAACTTATGTTGTTTTAACAGTAGAAGAAATAGTAAACATTAATAAAACAATGAGTCTCTTCTAAACCAAAATATTTTTTTTTTCATTATGACGACGTGCGATTGCATCGAGAGAACTTACCCCCAATTTTCGTTGAGAATGTGGTTAGTCACAGTGAAACAAAATACGGTAATTATTTCATCTGCGAAAGTACAGTGAAGTGAGGTAGTTAAAGCAAAAATTGATTGAGTGAAGCTTAAAAGTGCACACAATATTAGATAATAAGTGTAGTCGATTTAGACATTTATGTTCAAAAGTAACCACTCGCCTGTTTCTATAGACACTTTATATTTATTTTAATCGTTCAATTAGCCGAAACAAAAGAAGTCAAGGATATTACAAAGTAAAAATTCCATTTCGGTGCTTTAAGGACACTTATTATGTAGTTCCGATCGTCAAAATCTACTGATGGTATGGTTAAATTTTATGTTTTTTTTTTGTGCATAGCAAGACAGTTAAGTTTTGAGAAGCCCGATTATTAATAACATTTTAAGTACTAGCTACACTTTACTTACGGGTGAACCGGTTCAACTTGCTGCTGCGCAAAAGCCAGAGGGGAGCATCCGCGCACCACAACAATTTCATGTTGTACGGAAGAGTTCTTAGAATTGGAAGGACGGGTAGCTACAGCTACGAGACGATGATATGGGGCGCAGAAAATAACACGGCTAATGTTGCGATTATGGTGAATAATGTGAATATTATAAGGCACAATCTATCGACTACCATCGCTGCGAACTGCCAGTCCCTCGTTATGGTGTGAGCCTCATCATCCTTCCTCATCTGATCGGTTATGAAGCGAATCTCTTTCAAAATCATTGCCAATTCATATTCTTGGCTTGATAGGTTACTTTGTGATGACACAATGCCTTGTTCTTGATTTCTGGCTCCGGTTCCGTTGTTACCATCTTCATTACTTCTGAAAACAACTTTTTTTAATTCTCAATAATTACTACTGATTATTTAGAGACAAATGTCTCTTTATATAAATGGTTCACTTAAACTGGCTTCAAACTTATTACGGAAAAAATATTATTCTAAAATATTCTAAAATACCTGCTAGGCGATTCTGTATCTTAAGTAAGCACACTAAATACGCTATATTGCAAAATGGGTCGATTGCTGAAAAGTGCGGTTTAAAATTCATTTATTCATAACATGTCGTCGTCGTTTATTTTATTTGCCCTTTTCATTTTCTATGCATTTCCAATTATGTAATTTCTGATTTACTTTGATGTAAAGCCCAACTATATGACCATCAAAGCAATTAAAAGTTTAAATAGATCGACTATTTGTGAAAACTTTTAGTTCGGTTAATAATGAGTCAGTTACATTGTCGAATTTTTAATGATGATTTAAGACGGTTGGGATCAGAAGTTTTCCTAATTAGCCCTAAATGGCTCTAAAACTGATAGTTATTGAGAACCTCAAATTAAAATCCTTCAAGTTTCAATTCGAATATCCGGAATAATAGCGAAAGTTTGGATTTGTTATAAAGTTTTAATAGAGTTACCGGGATCAATAAATCTACAGAAAAAGTTTGTAAGTACTTTACCTATTTGTCTGTCCAAACTTTTACATTGCTTCTGAACACAGCGTTTTTACACAGCTTAGTTATGAACACTTGTGTTGGGTTTTGTAGAATGAAGCAAACTTTTTTCAAGAAGGCGAATGGAAATTTGAACAATTTTAGCAAGCTAACTAAGCTGCTCAAAAAAAAATTAAAGTCATATTGACAAATTTAGACGGACTTTAGAACTGGATAAATTCTGATTGCGATTTTGTGAGAAACGCTTTTTAGAGTAATTATCTTTCGGGTAGTGCGTGTTTTTTAAAAATGAGTGTTTGAGATACATTTTCTACAGGGTGGCAATTAAAATAGTGAAAAAAAGTATAAAAAAATAATCCATTTTTCTCTTATCTCGTTTATTTTATAGTGGCCTTACAAAATAACTAATAAATAATTAGCAAAATCTAAGGCTCATGTTGAAGTAAAAACTTTGCAGTCGACCTCAGAAAAAACTTCAATACCTACACTTAGTTGAAAATCTTCCAGAATCACAGATTTTGGGGGCAATTCTGATTTAGGTAGTTTTTATGCAAGCCTGTATATCTAATTTTTCTCTTAAATTGCCTATGAAGTTTTAGCTTCAACATGAGGTCGTGAAAATCGAACCAAGAGCAAAAAAGTTATCGCTGCAAGACGAAAAAATTGATTGTATGAGATCATCCTGTAAATTGAAGAGATGCCCTAAAATTCAAAAACCGTTTCGAGTTGTCTGGTTTATCTCTAAACTTTTGGCGTTGAGATCCATGAAACCATGTTATTGTCCAACTAGGAGCATGCTGAACGTTTAAGAAATTGTGTATTTTTCATTTGGCACCATGTAGAAAATTTATCCGAGATGCCTCAGCGTTAGAAAAACGCCCACACACAAATGGGGCTAAATAATGCTTCAAATAGAAATAAAATCGCTTTACGCAATCAAAATTTATCCAGTTCCAAGGTTAGGTCAAATTTGCCTGTGTAACGTTCATTTTGTTGAACAGTTTAGTTGTTATCGAAAACTTTCTTCTGGTGTAATTCGGCAAAAATTTTTTAGGCTTTTGAAAAAAAATATTTTGAAATGAATAGTAGCTAAAAAGATTAATTTACTCTTTACTCTTTTTTAGCATTTGAGAGCGAATGCCGATTTGCTATCGAAACGTCCGGGGAACTTTCCTAAATTAATTTCGTTATTAGTTGATAGCTCTTTCTGTTAAATAATTTTTTAGTGTGAATTAAAAAGGACCCTTTATCAATCTGTAATAAAATTCTGTCTTCAGAGGCAAAATACCCAAGAAAAAGGTTTTGAAAATAGTGAACAGTTTGAAATTATCATTTTTACATCATCCTGTATTCCAGACAGCCAGTCGAATTTGAACAGAGGACGAGAGGGAATGAATGGATCCGAAAGGACCAAAAAGGAAACTCTAACTGTGATCATTACTAGTGAAAGCAGTTTCTGTTATTTCAAGTTTTTCCGAAAATCCAAATGTTCTGAACTCGGCCCTAGACACAACAGCTAAGAAAACTGAGAAACTTTTAAAAACTAAATTACTTATTCTTAACTTAATTGATTATTCACGTAATTCGGTTTTCAAGCCTCCCATACACATTGGCCGCTCCCAACAGAATTCTGTTATATTTTTAGAACTTTCTAAAAATTCACTTAGATGAAACATGAAATATGGCATTACAGGCCCGGTTGTGAAAGTCGTAAAAACTTCTTCACGCAAAAAGTTGTACTCCTTTAAATAAATATTTAAGGTATCGTTATCTCTTGCTTTACATTTTTTAGAAGTTGATATACTCGAAAATGGAGCCTCGAAATTTCAAACGTTGCAATTAAAATATTAATCTGGATAAAATAACTTGTTAATTAAAAGTTTCAAAAACAAAGTTGATCGACATTTTAAATCAGCTTTGGAACATATTTTATTGAAGTGACCCTGGGGGAACTGGAGGGTTTTGAAACATAGATTAGATAATTTCAATAATCCAATTAATCCAGTTGCTGGGTACATGGAAACATTGCGGGATTATTTACTGTGCAGTCGATGTTAAATAGGTTTCAGAATCCAAATATCAACTCAACCCACTGTAGTTGGATTTAACAGCCATTCTCAATTGAATGTAACAGATTGACTCTCTTTTGCTAAGCTTTGTTAATATGATAGGAAATCTGATCGCATTAATGGAGGAAGTAATTTTCTTGAATAGCTAAGTCTACTATTACTATTGTATATGTTAAATCTTCCAATTCAAAGCATCGACAATCCTTTCGGGACCAAATCAAGTTAGTTTATCACATATTAGGTCCATTACTTCCTTTATCACCGACATATGAATAGAGCGATTAGCCAGTGACAAATATTGGGTCAATTTATTGACGGTAAACCATTTATGTGTCGCTGCCATCAGAATATGATGATCCTAATTGGTATCGTTTGTAATTGCTGAAGACACAAAATCAATTACTAACCATTGCGTCAATTTGGAAGATGCGATTTCCATTAGGCGGTTTCTTGCTATATGAGCGGAAAATGATTCAGTTGAAAGGCAGTTTCCATTATGCCAGAGAAATTACTTATTGTAGAAAAGTAATCAGTTGAGGTTCAGGAAATTGCTGGATTGGATAGACTGGGCTCTATCTATTTCAGCTATAAATTAAATCGAATAGATGCGCCTATAAAGGACTGAAGCGTAACCATGAACATCGTTTTATTCGTTATGAATTTGTATTAAAGCAATTTGGGATTTTCAGGTTTAAAAGAACTTAATTTCCCTTATGGGTTATGCCAGCATTACTCTTATAATAAAGAGAACAAACGCTTTAAGATTTTCTTGAAGATTACATTAAATCAATTCTTTTCTTTGTTCTTGTTGCTCTCAAACAGTGGTTTGGGTTTGAACCCAGTTTGAAACCGCATAGCCTGAAAACTATGTTGGAATTTCTCGTTTTGTGTAAAAATTGGAAATATTTTCAAAGTATTTTTAACTTGGTTTTCATGTTAAGTAATTAATTCTCTATTCAGTGGTGTAGAAATCCTGAGATGTGAGTGATAAAGACGAGTTATTTTTGAAACAATGCATCTTATACCTGAATGAAAATTCATATTTCGCTTTTTGCGTGCAATAGGGCAGTATTTTTTAACTGAAATTTCACTTCCAGACTGGCTTCTTTACTCTAATATCAGGTTATAGGAAAGCCAGAGTTGTAGTTCAGATGGTTCTTGAGACATTACCAAAGAGGTAGCGTGGCGTCATATTTGGTTTAATGGCCCAAATTTACCAAACCCGCAAAAAATTAAAGTACCGTTAAAATTTCGATATTTGCGTGAAAACTACCACTCTTTCTTAACTCAAATTTCAGTTCAAAACTGGCATTTTCAATATTCGATTTAATGATGAGAAAACGAACGCTGTATTTCATTTTAATTGCGACAAATTTTTTGGGGTAAAGCGGGTTTTAGACATGGTGAATAAATAAATGGAAGTAACATTTTACTCCGATCTGAATGATCTTTTAGGCAAGTAAAATTCAATATTAAATGTGACATTCGGGTCAGAAATTTACGTGAAAATAAATGGTAAATCCAATTTTCAAAACTTTTAAGATGAACGGAAAGTTTTTCTATTGCTGGAAACGAAGACACTGAAGTTCGAGTTAATGGTTTCTTGTTTAGCAGTGCGAATTTAGGAACATGCAGGCTGTAGAAATGGTGTAATTAAAGCAATTTATAACGCCGTTGTTAGAAAATACGCAATTTATCACTAAGGCTGGACAGGGAAAAGCCAAATTGCTGAAATCGCGTAGTTAAGCCTTAAACTGACTAAAGTTGACAAACTCGGGTCTTGGAATTTATCCGGAAATCCTTGTACAGTTTACGCTTTCAGAGATTTTTCCAGCTATAGATGTTCATTATGTTGTTCTTGTTAGCCAACTAACACAGACCTTTCGTGTGATAATTCTTTTGTCTAAACACACGCCAACACGCAACATTTATTGAAAAAAAATTAAATAACTGCAATTTTCAGAGTTAACCAATCTAAAGCGATTAAATAAAAACCATAAAATGTGTAATTGTTCTGTGAAAACCCCAATTCCACAGTGCTGAAACTGAAAAAGGTATTTTTCATAACATATTCTTTAGATATAGCAGTAAAACTCGTTATAGTCGATAAGTCATGTAGCATTCCTTCTTATATTAAATATTTCGGTGCGCCAAGACAACTTTATTTCACTTCTCAGGGAAAAATGATTAATACTGTATAAATCTATGGCTTTGTTACTTTCTTTGCTTTCATATGTCTTTCGGAATGGCGCAGGAGTTTCATTTGGCAAACATTTTATTAAAACCCAAACGTTTTATAAC